TACAAAGGGATTAGAAAAATGTAACACATGTTTCTTGATAGTTGGTAATAGTGATCATGTTTTTCACAGTATATTGTGCCCATGCCAGGGGTAGAATTGAAGGCTCCCTCTCTCTCTCTCTTTCTCTCTCTCTCACACACACACACACACACACAATCTTGTAGAAGCAAGACACATTTTGTGCAGTTTCTTCACCATTCCCATTATGGTTTATGCCCACCATTTGTCCTCTGTTTCTCCATTAATTTCAGGTTATCAAATGACTGGTTCTTTTTTTGTCTTTTGCTGGCCCTTGAATATTTTGAGCTTAAAAAATTGAGTTTAATAGTAAATATTCTTTAGGATGACATTTGTTGGCTTTACCCATTGTTGCATTATGCTGAAAAGGCAGTGTAAATTGGTATCAGAGCTATCTTGTTCTACATCAGGGGTATAATGGACATGAAAGGCAATGATACATTACTTCAGAAGCTTGAAAACTTCCAGGATTAAGTAAACCAGCTAATTGGCTTATCCATCTCACTAGCGAGCTTTTGTTCAAGTTATTGTTGAATTGTACTCAAGGGATCTTTGTTCTTCTTTCAATTTGATAACTGTTACTATATACACGAGTCATGGAGACCAGTATGAGCTGAACTTAATACTGAACCTCAAAAGGTGATCAAGCTTGGCTCCTTTATCTCGTGAGTCAATCTTGAATCAGCTTTGTATGGATTACTGTGTACACACCTGAAATTGGAAACTGTTATGGGTGTTGTCAGATAGTTGTTCTTACTTCTATTTGCATTTCTGTCTAAACTAAGTGCTGCTGATGTTGTACTGTGCAGCTTTTTCCAAACCTTGACAAGGTTATTTTCTTAGATGATGATGTGGTAATTCAGCGTGATCTGTCTCCTCTGTGGGATATTGACCTTGGCGGAAAGGTTAATGGAGCAGTTGAAACTTGCAAAGGTGAAGATGAGTGGGTAATGTCCAAGCGGTTCAGGAACTACTTCAATTTTTCCCATCCCCTCATAGCTAAGAATCTGGACCCTGATGAATGTGCATGGGCTTATGGAATGAATATCTTTGATTTACGTGCATGGAGAAAGAAAAATATAAGGGACACTTATCATGCGTGGCTGAAGGAGGTAAATTCAATTCCTTTATTGTCTGGCTGTGGATAACTTTGCCTTCTCGTCCTTTCCCATGGCTACAAAAAACATCTTACTTCTAGATTGAATAACATTTTCTTGTAACTGCAATTAAAGAGTTGCCGTTGATTCTGTGTTTGCCTTTGCCCTCATGCAAACCTGATCACGGTAATTCCCATATTTGTTTGTGTGGTCAGGTCTAATCATGTTTTATGGAATGTGTTGTGGGCATTGGGGGTCACTGGGTAGGGGACACATAAGTCCTCAATGAATTAATCTCTCAGAATTAACTGTGTTCAATGCTTCAACTCATTGTATTCCTTGTGGTGTGTTTTTTTTTCTTGTATAAGTATAAACTAAATAAAAACAGCAGAAGAAAAAAAATTATTGTGAAGATTGATATTGACCATTCTCATGTTTTTTGATTATTCTGTGATATCTTTTTGACAAGTATCTCATGTTTTCTGTTTTCGGAGAGTATACAACAAAATGTGACATGTAACGGGTCCATTTCTTATCATGATGTGGAATCTTGCAGAATCTGAAGTCAAACCTGACAATGTGGAAGCTTGGAACTTTACCTCCAGCTTTGATTGCATTTAAAGGTCATGTTCACCCAATTGACCCTTCGTGGCACTTGCTTGGCTTGGGTTATCAGAATAATACCAGCATTGATAGTGTGAAAAAGGCTGCTGTAATCCACTACAATGGCCAGTCAAAGCCATGGTTGCAGATAGGCTTTGAACATCTCCGGCCGTTTTGGACCAAATATGTCAACTACTCCAATGACTTTGTTAGGAATTGCCACATATTGGAGTAGTGGTAATCAGTCAACTACAATTGCTGAAACAACACAAATGAGACAAAAGACCGAACCACTAAGGGGTTTCCTCAAGTCGCTTTTGCTCTACAGAAGTTTGTCAATATATATTTGAGTAGAGACAAAATGGATAAACATCCAACATCTTGATTTGCTGATGTCCCCCATCCCACCTTTCAAGGAAGAAGACCTGCATCACTAGTAAATGCAGGAGTTATATTCTTTCAGCTGGTGGCATAGCAGTTCATCATCTACTTTTTGCTTGGCAAAGGGGACAAATTTTTGGCCTTCCTGATGGGGTTTTTTTCTATTACAAGGTTTGGTAGAAAATTATCTTAGCATTGCCCTCTGTCATTCCAATCGGTGCATGGAAGAAGTTAGAATGCAGGTCCTTGTAAGGTTCCCACTTTAGCCCAATTAACCTTAGAATTGATTTTTTTTCCATTCAATATCCCCCCTTGTTGCTATTGCTCTCATTTTTTTCCAGCTATTTTTGATTCTATGTAGTTATTGTGATTTTTAGGTGGTAAGCCATGGATATTTCTATGATACAGTTCCCTTTGAATTGGGGAACTGTCTTAGGTTATATGTCGGTTATTTATCATAGACAATTCATGAGAAATATTTAAAATGTGCAGATAATTCTTTTTCCCCAAACTTCCTCTTAGTTTTATTGTGTGTCTTTGCTCCTTACTATTATGTGGTCTTGTCTACAATGCTACCAAGTGGGGCTGAAATAAAATTTGCGAGTGAAAACTTCTGTTTTATTTCTTTCTTATTTTTGACGAATAGAAATGATTATATATATCGAACAAATTTTTGAATGTAATCTTCGTTGCAAGGTCTGTGTCACCTTTTGAAGGGTTCTACACAGGGACATCCACATGCTATGGCGGCGAGGATTTTATATTCTGACTAGCTGTCCAAATGCTTATAATGGACAAAAAATAATATGCTTGAGAAGATTTCTTTATCTGATTTATATGCTGCTATTCTCCTACAGGAGGGGTTTGATTAACAATATAATTAATATATATTATTGTATATGGTGTTATTTGCTAAGTTGGCCATGACAATGAAGTCCATTAGAATTGGGTATTCTGATACTTACAATGTGGCTGTTTCTTGGTCCTTTTATACTGGACTCAATGATCCTTTTGGCATTTTGCTTTTCTTGAAGATTATGTTTCTTCAATAATTTAATTGGGTGGTTAGCATTGGATTGGTCTGAACTTGTGGCGTTTTATGACCTTTTTTGAGTTTGATTGATTCTTGCAAATCTACATTGCAATGCTTTGTCTCGGGTATCATGACAATGTTGTAGTTTTTCCATAAAACATCAAAAGATTATCAAGTGCTCTTCTTGTTGAAACTTGGCTCCGACCTACATTGCAATGCTTTGTCTCGGGTATCATGACAATGTTGTAGTTTTTCCATAAAACATCAAAAGATTATCAAGTGCTCTTCTTGTTGAAACTTGGCTCCGACCTACATTGTTGGATTAAGCAGAATAATATGATTATGTGTGTCGGTATAATGATGATATAACGTCAATATCATCATGTGATATCATTTTTTAATAATAGTTATTAGGGTAAATATCATAATTGATCATTAAACTTTACCTCCATCGAGTTTTAATTTGGTCCTTAGATTTTTTAATTGTCTTAATTTAGTCTTTCAACTATTAGTTTCATCTTACTCAAGTCTTTCCAACTATTTCTACTGTGAGATCAATTGGAGATTAGCTTAATTTGTACCGTGAGATCAATTGAAGACTAACTCAATCTGATCTATTTCATGCGTTAAATCATATGTTTCGTTTTGATCTGACGATAAAAATAGGCGAAATGATTTTTGAGAAGTTAAATTAGGATAATTGAAAGTTTATGGACCAAATTAAAATAAATGACAAAATTTAAAGACAAACTATGATATTTATAACAATTTATTATACTACATGAAAGGATACTTATTAAATTTAGTAATATTACCTATCGAAAATGGCATGATATGATTCTTATACTAAATAATTTTTTGAAGAGTGGAAAGTGGGAACTAATCAGTAGGATGCCCGACCTAAATGATGGTCATCCTTTTAGCGGTGATAGCACCACATCCTTATAAAGAAATTGCAAGTTATGGTCAACACTTTCATTACTAACCAAAAAGTGAAAAAAACAAAAAATAAAAATAAAAAAGTGAAACCATAATAACTAATTACGTGGGCATAATCACCAAACATCCTTGTGGGCTGTCCATGAAATGGAAATCCATTTGACCCATTCATCTGGGTTGGTGCAATGCTTACTGTTGGACACTTTCACCTTAGTTTTTTTTTTGCTCAGAAACCACCTTAATATATTTTCACTAGTAAAATTATGAAATTTTTGACTATACTTGTTATTCATCTCGAAAATAAATTTAATTAGACTAATATAATGATTAATCATTAAATCTGAATATAAATTTTAATGCTCAAACTTTCAACTTCGTGATGATGAGAAGTTCGACTAAATATCACGCTTAATCACTCCACTTGATCGTCACTTTCACCTTAGTTTACATAAGGGTTGTTAATGTCAACAAAATTTGGCGTCACTTTCCCATCAGCTCATCGGTCTTCAATCACATGAAAAGTAGGAAAAAAAAAGTCAAAAATCAGAAGGGAGTCCACCCTCCTATTGTTAAATGGATAAGTATTCAATACTTTTTAAAAGTTAAGGGTTATACAGTTGGGACATATACTAGAGCTCTATTTATTTGAGTTCTAATAATTTATATTGGGGGGTAAGAATTGTAGATCAGATCAATGATTTGATTTGTTGATATCGATGTAAATATCAATTTTTCTATCATCACTTATTGTATTTATTGAAAGTGGTAGGTTCAAATCTCCTGTCCCTAAGAGTGTCTAATAAAAAAAATTATAAAAATCACCCGGCTACTGTACTCTACAATGGGAAGTGAGACAAATGAGTTGTAAGTTATAATGTGATTCTTTACTAAAGTCTGTTGTTTTTTTTTTTCCCCATAGGCTGAAGAGGATTGGGAGGAGAAGGCAAAAAGGCGCACAAAAAGATGAATTCATTGATTGACCACCGAAAGACATCGAGAACTCCGAAACAGCCTGGTCTCGGGATTTCTTTGATCTCTTCCTCTTCTTTCTTGTTACTTTATTCATTACAGTATTTATCAATTTAATACGGTATTTAATATTGCCTTCTCCTAGCAATTGGCTTGGCTTTTTGAACCTTAAAGAAACTCTGGAAACAGAGGAGGAGGACCCAGATTACTTTTGTGCCAAGACAGACCAACTTGGAAAGGTTTTCTTGTATCTTTGAGCGGAATGTTTTGATTTTTGATTCATTTGCTGCATACCCATTGAAGAAAGTAGGACATGACCATCTTTTCGGTGGTTGTTTGACTTTTGATTGATTCCTTTCCCCCGGTAAGTAATCGGATTGATTTTTAGGTGACCCAATTAGTCATTTGAATGGATTTCCTGAATCTTGGAATATATTTTGAGGATTTGGTGGTTGTATTAGTTGGAGTTTTCTGTCGGAGATTCTACTCCTGGGTGTGTGTTTTCTTGCATTCAATTTTTTTTTTTTTGATTTCTTCTTTTGTATTAATATTGTGGAGTGGATCTAGATACTGTTTTTGGGTATGTAATTTTTTATTTCTCAGAGCCCAATTTTATTTTGTTTCTGGACTGTGATTCCTCTTTTTCCTACACCTCCAGTTTCTCATTCTGTTTGTGGTGAAGCCTGCTTTGATAATATTTCTCAAAGATTTTGTTTCATTTTATTAATTCATTCTTTTATACTACAGAAAGTGAAGATATTAAAGAATTATAGACCATTCTGAAATTTTATAATTCAGTGGTTATCCATTTCTCCAAAGATTGTGGCTTTGGAGATTTAACACTTTTGGAGTAAACCCAACTTAAAATCAATCGTGGGTGTTTGAATACAAAAGAGTCCGAGAATTGGAAGATGTCTGGAGTGCAAGATCAGCTAGAGATCAAGTTTCGCTTGACTGATGGATCTGACATTGGACCTAAAAGCTTTCCTGCTGCTACAAGTGTTGCAACCTTGAAGGAAAGCATCCTAGCTCAATGGCCAAAAGGTTTGTTGCGTCTTTGATTGTGTTTTTGCCTTGTTTTTTATTTTCGTATGTGATCTCAGTGTTTGCATGTTTTTAGTTTTTATTGAAAAAGTCGTAGAATTTCTTTTAATGGTACTAGAAGTAGGGTACAAGCGGTAGACCTAAATTAACATCGAACGAAATAATAAAAAAAAATATGAAAATATTTAACTAAATCAGCGTATAACAAATGATCGAAATAATGGCGAAAATGGACTCATATAACTGGCCCCAAATGATTGGGATATTAGGCTTGGTTTGATTATTACACTGCTGATGAGTTAAAGCAAGAAGCCCGAGTATGAGATCATGGAAAGTCCCAGCGAAGAACTGAATTTGATGCATTGAACTCTGGTATAAGTTGTATACCCATTATTGAGTTAAAGTTCTAAATTGCAATGCTATTCTTCGCACAGTCGCATCTTACACGCCCATCTTGAATGATATTTCTGGAAAAATTGAGAAGGATGGTCATATAGTTTGAGATGAAATGGAAACTTTCATTCACAAGATATTCATCATAGCTCAATTTGGCCAGTGAAATGGAAACTTTCAATTGCTTTCTCCTTGCTGTTGAGCATCCATCATTAGGGTGCAACCATTTGAGAGAAGTCAATACATATTTTTGAGTGATCCTGCATATGATCTTTCAATTCAATGAGATAGACTAAACTGAATGATAAACTGTTGCTAGCTATGAAATTATTTTACACTATTTGATGCTGAAACATATGAATTTAGCACTGCAGCCTATGTTGGTTCGGTTTGTTCATGGTTGTTAAATGGGATCCTTTACAGCATCAATGGGTTGCCTGCTGAATCAAATTGTAGAACAGGATGATGGTATTCAAAATTTTTACAAACAGATATGTGTTCAGAGTTAAATATGTTTGCTTGATTAAATAGGTTTAATTTCAGTGGAGAAAGTAGTGAATATTTGTGAAATTCTACAAAAATAGTCAATTACAATTGAACACACCTAAAGAAGAGCATAATTCAAATCTAATTTTAGCATAGCCTGATAAATTCATCATCATGAACAATTAAATTTCGATAAATCAAGAATGCTTACTGTAATTCATATTTCAATAATTTCATGAATTTTTGATGGAATGAATACAGGTTAAAGTACAATGCGGCCTGGGACTTGGTAGTTTAATAACAAGGATCATCTTTAAAATCTACTTTTCTTGCACAGTTTTTCAGTGATCGTGACTTTCAACTAGAAATTGGTTGTATCGGTTTTACGTACTCATGAGTTAGACGAGTGACTTAAAGAAATCCTTTAAAGTTTTTGTGATGATAAACTCTTAAATTCATATTGTCTCGTACTAAGGCAGGAGTTTGTTAAAGTGGTTTCTTACCCTATGTTATCTCATAATCTCACTTTCGGCACACCTATGGCCAGTAAAGATATTCTCACTGTGCTACTTTAATTGAGATATTTTGGTCACTTAAGAAAGATGTTCTTAATATACTAGATGTCTGAGTACTATGATAAGTATTTTCCATTGGAAGGAACTTTAAATATTGATATACACCTTCTGGGTGCAGTAGATGTAAATGCAATTGATATTACATTATACTAGAAACTATCACAAAAAATTATGCAAATCGTGTATAATTTCTTTTTGGGGGTGATTATTTTATAGATTATTATATTGCAGTGTGATTATGATTGATCTAGGCTATCAAATCTCTCAGAAACTTCACCCAGCATTTTGTAATATAGCTGCATAGGTAGGCTGGGGTTGATACTGTGGGAGTTGAGATAATCAAAAGGCTTCAAGATTGATAATTTGATACTGTTTTCTTCGTCCTGTGTTTTCCCTCTGATATAGTACAGAAAACAATTTTATCTCCTACTTTAGACTTTGTTAAGTTGATGGAAAAAGTAACTCGACCATATCTCTGATTCATTGAATATTATCCTAAGCTGGTACTAATATCATTATATTGATTCCCATTGCCATGCACCCTGCCTTGTGTCTTTGGTCTTTATTATGCATCACAACTGATGAAACAACTCAACTCAACTTAAACAAGTCTTATCATAACTATTTTGTGTCAGCTACATGAATCTTGTCCCTAAGTTTTGCTCTATAGTAGTCCATATTTTCTGTTATAATTGACGACACTTCCCTTATAAATTTTGATCAGAGAAGGTGAGTGGTCCAATGACAGTGAAAGATGTCAAGTTAATAAGTGCAGGAAAGATACTGGAGAACAACCGAACAGTGGGAGAGTGCAGAAGCCCCTTATGTGATATACCTGGGGGAGTTACAACCATGCACGTCGTTGTTCAACCACCAGCTTTGGAAAAAGGTATTGGTATTGTCCAAGATATTGCACAAACTATTTGAGATACTGTGATCAGTGAAGCATATCATTTTCCTTGATCCCTTCCGTACTATTTTATCCATGCCATTCACTATTGATTCCACAACCTCTGGTTTTTATTTATTTTGAACTGTTATTGTTCTCATAAAACAGAAAAGAAAGCGTTGAATGACCAAGAGCAGAACAAGTGTGTTTGTGTTATATTATAAAGTGAAGTTTCATGAGTGGAAGATCATCATTTGCAGGTTTGTAGGTGCCTACTACTATTATTTTCCATCACCGAGTTGGTTAAACCTTAATGCTTTTCTATGGCCAGTATAGGTGAAGAATGCTGGAGGTGGCAAAGATGTTGCAATAGGTAAATTGCTGACCAAGAAGGTGCTGTTAGTGAGATGACATGCATCATAAATCATGTGTTGGTGCCAATCTATGTCCAGAGTGTTGTTGATTTCACATCCATTTGAAATATCATCTTATTCTTAGTACACTTGTATTCCTGCAATCATGGACCATGATTCTTCAATTGAAATTTTGTGACTTCTTTTACTGCTGGGGTTATAACTATAACACTGTCTGGTTGTCGAGAAATATTACTAGTAGAAGCCAACATTGTGTCATAATATTTAGTTATGTCGGCGGATCCTTTATAATATTTTCTTCTTAAACCTCAGTTAGCAAGAAGGATACTGGTTGGTGCGACTAAATTATTGCTGGTGATGGTGGTGGCATATCCTTTTTATTTTTTGATGGTTTTTAAGACCTTACCTTATATATGGGAGGGGAAAATGAAGCTCGAAAACAGGTTGCCAGCATAAATACTGTTGGTGAAAAAACAATGCACCATTGCTCCCACATAAATACAGACAGAGACAGACCACACTGCATGCAGCCTTTGCCAAAATACTGATATCATGGTGGACTAAATTGGTGGGCATGATCTTGAACACTGTTAAGAGACAGGTGAAAGAGGTTGGGTCTCTTGTAATAAACCAAGGAAGGTGAAAACTTTAAGTTGTTTGCTTGAGAAATCACTTTAAGAGTTCGTGGTGGGTCAGGCTACAGTAATAGTAACTTATCCTTTTTGAGAGTTCAGATTGTATCTTGATTCAAATTAAGTTATAACTAATCTTTACTTTGTAATGATTTTATAAGCTACAAAGAAATTTGCTTAAATTGAGTAAAAGACATTTTTTTTTTCAATTTTATTATTGAGCATCAATACAAATACAACTGTAATTTTAAACTCATAATAACAACCCCTATTACTCGACTTACTTTTTTTTTTATGATCGATTTGGTAGGGTAGATGGATGAAAGAATAGAATGATAGAAAATGGGAGTGATACAATTTCTATCTTTAAAAGATGAATTATTTATTCTCTCTTTTTTGTGTTTGATAAGAGGAATGAAAAGTATGAAAGATTAATTGTTTTTGTGTTTGGTAATATGATTTTTTTTTTTTTTTGAAAAAGTATAAATACATAATTTATGATTATATTTATATAGAAAATTAATGTATACATAATATATACTTGATAAATATAATGTATATATATATATCAAATAATATACATTTCAACAAGCATAATTAAGTTTTTATCTATTTTTTTCTCCAATTTTAGAGGGATTAATTTTATTGAATTAAAAAGAAAGTTCTTTCATTCACTTTTTCATCTTTTTTATTTTTCTTCCTTACAAAATACAATGTTTTATCTATCTTTCTATTTTTTCATTGCATCAAACAAACCATACTTTCTTTTAAAGTTGCTCTAATAATAATAATGTATATCGAATTTATTTGTGAAATAAATATGCAAATTGATTTGTGAACTAACTTTTGATAGTAGAAAGATATGTGCTTATTCTTATTTTGATATGCGATTCAAAATACAAGCTTAATCAGACTAAAATTATATTAAATTTAATTATTAATTAAAGGAATTGTTGTGATTTAACTAAACAAATTAAATTAAGAATTTATGTATGAACTATCAAAAGAACTATTATATTATTTATTAATTATCCCTAATCTCTTATTCTAACGTAAAGTTCATATATTAAAACACCATTGAAACAAATTATATAATTTAAAATTTAAAATTAGCATAAAAAATAATTCAAGAGCTTAATTGATACGGATGGAATAACTTGATACCAAGGTCAATGTTAGTATTTTTTCTTAACTATTGCAAAAAAAAAAAAAAGGTAGAGATGAAGAAAAGCGTGCAATAACCATCCATCCAGCTAAACTCTCATTAATAGGATCATAAGGTCTTGAGAAATACTTCTCAAAATTAGATAATATAACGATCAACTAGTATTCCAAGCCTCAAATTTCCGATGAGACCACCGACTTATCGAAGAAATAAAGAATAAGATCGAACGTTCTCTTTGGTGGGTCCGCAAAATGGGTCCTCCTTTTCCCATCATACTCTATCCTCATACCTCCACACGGCCACGTGTATGAACACAGAGCACGACGCACACTACGCACCCCGGCGTACCAAATAACTTCACAGTCCTAAACACTCTTTTTTAGCTCCACACTATCATACAGGTTCACTGGAACCTACGAGAACACTCATAAACTTCTTTTTAAATTCCCACGCAAAGACCTCGTCTTCTCCCTCAATACACTATAAGTCTCCAACTCGCCGGAAAAAAATCCACGAGCGCACCGCATAACGCGCCGAGATAGCTAATTCTGCCCTCTGATTTCACCAATGGCAACTACGACGTCGTTCTCGGGCGTCCGTCTTGGTGTCCCGGGGGCTTTGAATTGTGGTGGTAACAGAACGGCTTTGTTTTCTCACCCACCGGTCTCTGTGAACTTCTCTGCCAAACCTACAGAGCTCAAAGGCCTAAATTTGTTGAAATTGAAGAGAAACAATGCTCTTTTCACTAGAAAATTGGGCAATCGTTCGAGGTCGTTTGTTGTTCGATGCGAAGCTCCTAGTGGAAGGGTACTTTCTATCCACACATAATGATTTATTGTTTTAAGTATTTATTATATATTTATGGAATGCTTGTTTTTTGGCTCCAGTTTTGGTTTGGTTGTTTTGGATGAAATTTTCTCAAATTTGCATCTTCGATAAATTTAGTTTCATCAATTGAGAAATATAATGTGTAGATGGCTGTTGTTGTGGTTTCCTGTGAGGGTGTGTATGTGACAGTGTGAGCGTGTGTACTTGTGTGAGGGATTTTTCCAGGAGAGATTTCTTTTTTTTGTTGCTTTGTTTTAATTTTATCTTTCAGTTACCCAATGAGATTGTATTAATCTTGTTTTCATTTGGGAAAAAAGCTCAAGATGAATGAGTTTGTTGGTGTGCTAAGTTACTGTGATCTAATAATGACAGATTAGTCAGCAAGAATTCACTGACATGGCCTGGCAAGCTATCGTTTCTTCACCTGAAGTGGCAAAAGAGAATAAACACCAAATTGTGGAGACAGAACATTTGATGAACGCCCTGTTGGAGCAGAAGAATGGACTTGCTCGTCGTATATTCTCAAAGGCTGGAATAGATAATACCAGTCTTTTGGAAGCTACTAATAAGTTCATTCAACGCCAACCAAAGGTAAAATCTAAACCATCCGAACTTGACTGATAAATGTTTTTTGCCATCTTCTGATGGCTTGGACATGAGATTGTTAACCTAGCGATGGATGTTGTGTTCAACAACACAATGGTGGGTTGTTTGTAGTAAGGAGACTGATATACATACAAAATTGCTATACCAAATTAACATCCTGTGCAAGTTACTTCCCATCATTTTAGTATAAAAGACTACCAATGTTACTGCATCCTTGCTGATCATTCTAGATATAAATTTTCACTACGAGGGTTAGTTTATAAAACATTTTTCACCAAGCACTTTGAGTGAATCATATATCTTGTAATTCAAACTGTCACATCATTGCTCTCATCATAAGCATCCACATGAGTATAGATCAATTATGGAGTTGCATTGTTCTGGATAAAAATTCTAATGAATGTATGTATAAAGTATTTTCCGCTCAACATATATTGAGCAAACCATATATTGTGTAGTCCAAACTCTCCCATGATTGCTCCCATCATTCGCTTCCACGAGTAAAGGTTAATTATGGGTTTGCATGGATGAGATTATAGTTCGAACTCACGCATGATGGCTTTACATAATTTGTGTGGTAACAAATTGTTTATGGGTTGTGCAAGTGAGAGTATTCAGATTCACATCATTGGCCTCAACGGTTGCAACTACTTGAGTGACATACTAATCCTGGTTTGCACATAAACAAACTCCAATTGTAGACTTTGTTCGGCATAATGGAGCTTATTGAAAATGGCTCTCGCACATAATAACAAATTTGTTAGTATAATGGCAGGATGGATGATGCATGTAATGCCGCATACATTTTGGTATTAGCCTATATAATTTCAATTCTTATGATTAAAAAGAAAACAATTGTTTCCAATCATGTGGAGATATCCCCACCTCTGTCAAGCTGATGGATTGGAAATACAATCTTCTTTGTAGTGTATCTTTGCTTATTACTTGATTGATCTATGTCTTCATCTGCACTGACAATGGCAGGTTCTTGGTGAGTCAGCTGGCTCAATGATAGGACGGGGTTTGGAAGGACTAATACAGCAAGCCAAGGAGTACATGAAAGAGTATGGAGATTCATTTGTGTCCGTTGAGCATTTATTGCTTGGTTTTGCACAAGATAACCGTTTCGGAAAGCAATTGTTTAAGGATTTTCAGATTTCATTAAAAAGTTTAAAAGATGCCATACAAGCCGTAAGGGGGCGTCAAACTGTTATTGACCAAGGTGATGACAAATTTTCATAATGATATGTTATCACAAAGTTTATATTATTGCTTAGTTTATATGTCCTGTTGTGGAAAGAAATGTGCATGATTTTGGGATTTCGGTGCCTGCTACTTTGAAGGGGGAGGATATTGTATGAGAATTTGTATTCCTTAACTTTCATCAGTGCTTTGTCATATTTTTTTTTGTTCAAAGTTATGGTGTAGGTTGATTCTTCCTAGTTTAGGGACAACTCCAAGGCATTTTTTCTTGGAACTGCGAAACCATTGAATTTGTTTTGGGATATATCGACCACATTAACAAATAGCAAAACTTCTTCCAATTGTTCTTTCCCTATGCAACCATGTTCTGATCAGTGCAGACATTAGCATTTATATTTTTACTGCAACTTTAGCAATTCCATGGGTCATTATTATGGTTTTTTATACATTCTCATCAGGTTCCTTTGCTTATTTGTTAGTGAGGCCTAGTACGCTAATATGTGGTTCTATGGCATTTCTTGGGCTTTTTTGTTTAGTTCTCATCATATAATGCTGATTCAGTGATCTATTTTATTTGATGTTAGATATATCTTGGAAATAATTTTCTTGACTTAATATGTTAGTAGTTCATTAAGCAATTGTCTTATTGTAAATTGGTTTAGATCCGGAGGGCAAGTATGAATCACTAGAGAAATATGGCAAAGATTTGACAGCCATGGCAAGAGCAGGAAAACTCGATCCTGTTATTGGAAGAGATGATGAAATACGAAGATGCATCCAAATTCTCTGTAGGAGAACAAAGAACAATCCAGTGCTAATTGGTGAGCCAGGTGTCGGGAAAACTGCTATTTCTGAAGGGTAAGCTTCTTAAGTCTTCTCTTATTTCTGAACAAGTGCATAAATGAGGGTTTACTTGAGCCAAGAGCTTACATATTTCTCCCTTTTCATTGTACCATTTACCAGTTTGTTGCTCAGTCCTCTGAAATTTCATCAGCCTATGCTTGTTCTGCTCACTGCTCATGAAATAAGTGTTTTTAAGTTGACCCAAGCTTAGACAAACAATTTGACTAACCCAAAAGTGCTATAATGCATGATCGCCACATTCAGTTACGATAAATAACTGTTGGAACCATGGCTAAAAAGAGAAAGGACCTGATCAAGTTACAACCATTTGAATGCTAACTAGGACCATTGATTTTAATTGAGACTTTCTTTTTGTGGGTTTTTTGGGGGAGTTTTTTGTTTTTATTTATTTTTTTGGTTCTTTTTTTTTTGGGTTGGTCTACTTTGGAAGCTGTATTTGCTGCTTATGCTGCCAACGTACTAATGTGTTGGTACGTCTTATGCTTTTCTACAGGCTTGCCCAGAGAATTGTGCAAGGAGATGTCCCTCAAGCTCTCATGAACCGAAGGGTACGTGTTTAGTCTTGAGTTTTCTGCCAATAACTGTAGGGAACTTGTAGTTTCTCTTTTCTCTTAACCCCTCTCATTTCTGGGTTGTCATGGGATTGAGAACGGGAGGAGTGTCTCCATGATATGACTTTGAAGTATCACATAGTACCAAAGTTTGAACTATTTGATCTATCTGTTTCCAGTTGATATCACTGGACATGGGTGCTCTTATTGCTGGGGCAAAATACCGTGGAGAATTTGAAGATAGACTTAAAGCGGTGCTCAAGGAAGTGACAGAATCAGATGGGCAGATTATCCTTTTTATCGATGAGATTCACACGGTTGTTGGTGCAGGTACTTGGAGAACATTTTCTTTTGGGTATCTTAGTTTGCAGTTGCTTGGTTGAAGGGATGTCAGATGGTTGATTGGTGTTGTGTCCATAAAACTTATGTCATGATCTCCTTCTCTGTGGTTGGATTTCTATGATTTCTCATAAACCACTCCCTCAACTTGGTTGTATTAAAATGAAAATGATCTGATTTTTTCTTATTCTTTTATGTTGCCAGTGTTTGATGACTAGTAAATGTTGGATCCTGTAGTTTGGGATGAAGTTTGTGTTATAATCAATGGATGAAAACAAATAACCTATTGACTTTTATTTCAGGTGCCACCAATGGTGCAATGGATGCTGGCAACCTCTTGAAGCCCATGCTTGGTCGGGGGGAATTGCGATGTATTGGTGCCACGACATTGGATGAATATCGTAAGTACATAGAGAAAGATCCGGCGTTGGAGCGTCGTTTCCAGCAAGTTTATGTTGACCAGCCCACAGTGGAAGATACAATCTCTATACTTCGCGGACTGCGCGAAAGATATGAACTACATCACGGGGTCCGCATTTCTGACGGGGCACTCGTGGAAGCTGCAATTCTCTCAGATCGTTACATTAGTGGACGCTTTCTTCCTGATAAAGGTAATAGTTACAACCTAGAAGCCTAACATGTTCAAGTAATCCTTTTGCATGAAAGATCTACTGAATTAGTAACTGCTAGCTGAAGTCTCTCATGCATATTGGCCAGTCAGAATCTAAAGTATTGAACTAGAAGATTGCAGCTCTATGGAATATTTGAGATCCTGTTAAGATGAAGACATGCGTGGTTTTCAAAAAATTAATTGATGTGGAGGGGTTGCCGAGGCTTATATAGGTTGAGAGTTTCCCATGATTTCATTGTTGGAGTGAGCAATCCCTCTCATAGACTTGATAAGGTTGAGAGTGTACTGACCAAGCAAACATGTGGGTTATTGTTTTCAATATTGGATAAATATTGCAGTTCTGGACACAGGTGATAGAATTATATTTTTTTGGTTGATTCTGGACTCATGATTGATGGATGCCCGTTTATTTCACAGGATTCGTTTCCAGGCAGATCAGTTTTGAGCTTTGGCAATGACAATCCTTTCAATATCAGATGTTACATAAAAACGAATATGCATGCTAGTTTAACAACATATTTAGGTCAAACTTAAATATAAACTTACTTTCACTATTGGCTATGAATTACAATCTGTTTTTGCAGTGGTATTTACATCAACACCTCTTATACTTTTGTTAGAAGTTAGATTGAGTTCTGATCTACTCATTTCAACTGCAGCCATTGACCTGGTTGATGAAGCGGCCGCTAAACTGAAAATGGAAATCACTTCAAAACCAACTGCTCTTGATGAGATCGACCGTGCTGTATTGAAGCTGGAGATGGAGAGGCTCTCTCTCACCAATGATACGGACAAAGCTTCAAAAGATAGGTTAAATCGTCTGGAGGCAGAGTTGTCTCTCTTAAAGGAGAAACAAGCTGAGCTGACTGAGCAGTGGGAACACGAAAAAACTGTCATGACACGCATACAATCAATTAAAGAAGAGGTATAATGTTTGTTATTTTGTTATTCTTGATAGAAATTTTTGTATCTATTTTGATTTATGTGAGAATTAGACTCTTGATGGCAAAAAAAGAGTATAAACATCTTGTTATGTAACCTGTGATTGGAAATAACTAAATATGTAATTAATGTACTAATTTTTTCTTATCAGAATTCCACTAAACTGGTTTATGTATGTGCAGATTGATAGAGTTAATCTTGAGATCCAACAGGCTGAGCGGGAATATGACCTTAATCGTGCAGCAGAATTGAAGTATGGGAGCCTGAACTCTTTGCAGCGTCAACTTGGAACTGCACAAAAAGAATTGGATGAGTATATGAGTTCTGGGAAATCCATGCTTAGGGAGGAAGTTACTGGTAATGACATTGCCGAGATTGTAAGTAAGTGGACAGGCATTCCTATTTCAAAGCTACAACAATCTGAGAGGGAGAAGCTATTACATTTAGAGGAAGAGCTGCACAAACGTGTTATAGGTCAAGATCCTGCAGTCAAATCTGTGGCCGAGGCTATCCAACGATCTCGAGCTGGCCTCTCAGATCCTCACCGTCCAATCGCTAGTTTCATGTTCATGGGACCTACAGGAGTTGGAAAGACAGAGCTAGCCAAGGCCCTTGCTTCCTATATGTTCAACACTGAAGAAGCCCTTGTACGAATCGATATGAGTGAGTACATGGAAAAACATGCGGTTTCAAGATTGATAGGAGCCCCACCAGGTTATGTTGGGTATGAAGAAGGAGGACAGCTGACAGAGACGGTTCGCAGGAGGCCATATGCTGTTATTTTGTTTGATGAGATAGAAAAGGCTCATGCTGATGTGTTCAATGTGTTCCTTCAAATTTTGGATGATGGTAGAGTGACTGACTCGCAGGGTCGCACTGTTAGCTTCACTAATTCAGTGATCATTATGACTTCTAACGTGGGTTCAGAATACATACTCAATACAGAGGATGAGACCTCATCGAAGGAGACAACTTATGAGATTATAAAGAGAAGAGTCATGGATGCTGCTAGATCAATTTTTCGTCCAGAATTCATGAATCGGGTAGACGAATACATAGTATTCCAGCCTCTTGACCGTGATCAAATCAACAGTATTGTCAGGTTACAGGTATCTCACTGTACACTTATGCTTGTACCGCGTATAAATCAAACATGGAGAATAACTCAATTGTTAAACAGCAGAACCAGTTCAAAGAAAAAAAATTACAGAATTATGTATGTCTAAACTACGGATGAATAGTTAGATTGATACTTGATTTCTTTGAAGAATTATACTACGGATGAATATGTTGCCTGGTAACCCCACTTTGTTGTGATGTCTTTCTTGACTAGATCTCAATTCTCTTTGACATAACTATTAAAGCTATAATTTCAAAATGGTTTCTTTCGTCTATTTTTTTTTTTTTTTAATAAATTTTCAGTGGAGAAATTTTTCTTCATATTACTATTTCCTTCTAAATGCAACTCTGATTCATCTTGTGTTTTTTCTGTATTATAGTTGGAACGTGTCCAGAAGAGGATAGCAGATCGTAAGATCCAAATTCAAGTGAGTCATGCTGCAGTTGAACTCTTGGGAAGTCTTGGTTATGACCCGAACTATGGTGCTAGGCCAGTGAAGCGGGTGATTCAACAGTATGTCGAAAATGAACTAGCCAAGGGCATATTGAGAGGAGACTTTAAGGATGAAGACACTATAGTGATAGATACAGAAGTCTCGGCATTTTCTAACGGCCAGCTTCCTCAGCAAAAACTTGTTTTCAAGAGATTGGAATCTGAGCCAGACTCTTATGCAGAAAACACTGAAACTTTCTCACAGAGTGTCTAGACTTTCTTGTACGTACTAAAGTCACTAAAATTACTAGTGTAAAACTTGAATTTTACATGTTTGTTACAAGTATTACACAACTTTGAGCATAATAATGAAATCAGAGTTATATACATATATAGTTTGTAGCAATCTAAACCTTTTTACGTGTCAGTAACCAATGACGGTGTATATAAGAAAGTAACAAAATTGGATAATTTGTAGGTGAGTCACTTGTAATATGAATCATACAAATCTCTATAGACATTGATAGTTTTAATCCAAGATCTAGATTTTATTAACCCTTGAAAATTAGAGGAAAAAAATTACAGGCGGTGATCCTTTGGATGAACTGATGAATCATGTCCTTCATATGCTCACAGGCTATTTGTTCCCCTACCTAACATGACCTGGTTGATCATTTTCAAGCGTATTGTTCATAGAAAATTCTTTCAAGCGTAAGGAGGCGGTAACTGAAAAGGTTTGGAAATTTGAAACGAAAAGAAGATGTCTACATTTACATTTTCGGACTGAAAAAGAAAGAGAGTGCAGATAGCATGGTTCAAAAGTTAAAACACTTCCAGCTGAATTAACTTCATGTACCCTCCAACTCCATAAGGGTGGAATTTTCATCAAGGCAGTATTGAGTGCTCATTTTCGAGATAATCTCCCTCTATGTGGATTCATCATGCTTTCAAGCAGTAAGTGATAACCTTATGTATCCGGGGGCCAGCCTATTGGTCCTGTCCGCTGATTCACATAAATATGCTGTTCAAGTTGTCTGCTTTCTCTCTTTTTGTTGCGCCAACTTCCTTCACTGTTAATCTTGAAAAAAATCATCTATAAGAAGAAAAAAATGATTTTAGCCATGATGACAAGAAGCCAATTGGTACGCTTTTTGCAGGAAAAGAATACCACCTGTTTCTTTGTTTAACTGAATCTATTGATAAGTTCTGCAGCATCAATGCCCATGTTTTGCCATCAGCTTTGAGACCGCTCTCACGCATTTTCATGTACAGCTTCCTCGCTGAATTAATCTTGCCCCTTAAGCACATTCCCTGAATAGCGGCATTGTAGAGTGATTCATTGGGTGCAACCTGCTGCATGACAAACAGTCCTTATAGAGTTAAACATTCCCTAAACCCTAAATACTAACAGTCCTCACTCCTCAAGGACCTCGACTCATGATGGATAGGAAATTGCAAGTATAGGTAAAAATCTATTTTGGAACTAGTAATTGGAACCTAGCTAATCAAGGATTTACATCACAAAGTAAGAAAATGACAGTTTCATTGATTTGTAGAAGTTTCATAATACGGCAGTTGCTATTTTGAACAGAACTTTCCAGTCAAAGAACCAAAGAGATCTTGTTTTGATAGCCTATATGATATGTGAGCAACTACTAAAAGGATGCAAAGTTAAAAGAGTAGTTGAAATAGGTGGTTTGCGATGTCATGAAATGATTACTTACATTTAGGATTTCCTCCACTTCATTCCAAAGAGAACCCCAAACACATCCTCTTATCAGCGACAACAGAGTAAAAGTGTCTGGAGTATGCTTTTGATGAACCATGTGCTCATAAACTTGCAATGCAACTTTGGGTCTTCTTGCAGCTTCACAAGTTCCAATCACAATATTATATGATGCAGTTGAGATGGAGAGTCCAGAAGTTTCCATCTGCCAAAGCAGCTGCAGAGCTCTATCCCATAACCCCAGCCTCTGGCAAGACATTAAAGTGGTGTTGTACAAATGTAAATTTAATGCAGATTTTTGCCCTTTTTGGATGCTCTCAAAGAGCCGAAGAGCATCAGCATGTTGATTTGCCCTGTACAAGGCACCAAGCAACGCGTTCCATGTGTATGCATCAGGAGCATGACCTAAGGATTTCACATGACCATAGACTTCAAACGCGAGCTTGACCTCGCCAGCTTTCCCAAGTGAGTTAATCAATGCATTACAAGCAGTTAAGTTTGGCTTAAGCCCACTGTTCAACATGTTTTGAAAGATACTTAGTGCCAAATGCCACTTCCCCTCCTTCGTGCATGCTCCAATAACAGCTTGCATTTCATCATCACCGGGTTTCAGTTTATGTTGAATCATCTCATGGTATGCATCAAGAGCTAACTCATTCTGACCACAACGGGTAAATATACAAACTAAAAGGCGATAAGTGACGGGTGTTCCCATATGACCATTTTCTTTCAAGTTTCTCCAAATTTTCTGAGCCTGAACCCAGTTGTTCATTTTGCCAGAAACTGATATCAAAGTGTTATAGACGACTACATCAAAATCTTTATGAATACTCTTCCCTTCCAATTCTTCAAACAGGTCTAACGCTGCATCACAACCACGAGCATTTGCTATTGCTTTTAGTATTAAGCTATAAGTATGGCCTGTAGTTACACCACTTGCCTTCATAATCTCAAAGATACTTAGAGCATCTTCAAGCATTCCATTCCTCAAGAGGCAGGAGAGAAGAGAATTGCAGGAATGTAAGTTAGGCCGAAGACCTGAAAATTCCATAGACCTATACAATTCCAATGCACTTCTAACCTTATTTGACCTGCTAAGCCTCAAAATCCTTTTTGAAAATAGCTCCTCATTCCTTTCCTCTAGAAAATGTAACCTACTTTTTTTCATAGTCACCATTCCTTTAGAACCCCTTGAAGCTTGATCAACAACAGCAATTTGGACACTAGAGTCTTTCTGTTCAAGAGAATTTAGACTAGATATTTCCTCGGCTCCTCCTATTTGAACCAATGGGTCATCTTCCTCACCAGATAACTCAAATTCAACCCTTGTAACCTTGTGAGAGATAATCTGAGGATTATCAGTATCCACCATTGGCATCCTCGTTTGTGTAACTCCAAACCAAGTGTACCACGCCTCAGACATGGACACAATGTTGAGGCCATAGACTTTGGAATTCCTGCTGTTTGATTTCCTCTCTAATCTAAGATATGGACAACAAGGAAAACACCCACTGGGAGTTTTAAATCCATTACTTCTTGGACCATAGGTTTGATGTTTGTAATTATATCCATTTAGGGCAATGGTAATTGCAGGTGAACACGTCAATACTTCCACCATATTCTGAACCCAAGAAATATCAAAATTCAAATCCTAATTTCTTCGTCCAAATGAAGCTGTCCAACCTCAAAATTGAGGTTGCACGACATGGCGGCTCAACAGTAGAGTCAAAAAAGCATGAGCTTTAAGCCCTACTTATTAAAAAGGCCCCAAATTTTAGAGTTCAATAATGAGACATAGATCAAAGATTAAAACCTATTCCAATTTAGCTTAACAAAAAAACTCCTGAAACTCTCATCATATGATTTCAATTTCAGAAAAGCAAAGGAATTAAGACTCACACAGAGACTGTCATAGAGAGAGAGAACCTGGGATGCTTGTGGCTTCGAAGAGGAGGAGGAGGCGGCGAGAGTCTCTGAGACTCGAAGAGGGATCGATCGATCTTAGTGCACACATTAAAACATATATTTTTTAAAAAATGTTTAAAAAAAAATAAATAAATGGGGGCGGGTAGGTGGAATGGCAAAAATCCTTTTATTAGCCGGCCGATTTCCACCGGAAGCCTGGCCCTTCTTCTATCTTATCTATTACCTTGCTCCTCCGCTCTATACTGCGCCAGCCGCTCGCTGTTCAGGTGGCTCGCATCCTAGGTGGTGCGGCTGAGCCAGAGTTACGGGAAAATTTGAACACACTTGAAATATAAGTTTACAAAATAAAATTTAAAATTTAAGTCCAAAAGTAAATTCTTCCTCGCCTTCACATTTTAAATGATAAAAAAAGTGTTAACACTTCGATAAAAATATATAATAAATATTTCTCTCTTACAAATAAAAATAAAATCAAACATATTTTTTACTTCTTTTAAACTCAATTTTATTTTCATTTAAACACAAAAAATCAATTAATTAAATTATTTATTTTCATATAAAATTTACAATAAAAAGTATTTAATATAAAAAAATGCAATAAAATTGTTATCAAGAAAAATAGAACACAATAAAACAATGGGTGCACGTTACATATATAAACAAGTTAAGGATCATAAAAAAAATTAAAAAAATAGTAAAATAATTCAATAACAAGATAACAAAGAATTATAAATGTATTATGGTAGTCGATTATGTAATACCATAATCTTTATGAACAATATACAAAACAAATAAAAAGAATATAAAAATAGTAATGAAATAAAATATTATATCCCAAAAAATGAGGGTTAAGCAACAGATGAGAGAGACAAACAGATGTTTAAATTTGTTTATTAACAAAGGTGTATTTAGTCATGATGATATGTATATATTTACAATTCTTATGAATTATACTATTGAACAGCTACACACACATAACAGGAGTTTGAAATAATATTAATGTAACGTTTAATATATCTTAGGTGCCTAAATTACTAAAAAAACATTATGATTGAATAAGTAGTGTAATACATACACTCTTCACTCTATCGTTGTAACTATTACTTACAATCATGTTCATATACATCGATGCATACAAGTTAAAGCATTAATTTTATTTCTGCCTTAGCAGCATATCTCGGTACGTTGGAATGGAATCAAGTTTTTGCCAAATCTCGCAATTCAACTATTTCTCTCTTCTTTTTTTTCCAATTTTTTTTCTTACATTTCACATGATTATTCGTAAATTTTTGCCCCAAACATTTAATCCGTAGAATCCTCAATGGCATGATCCGAATTTGCCATTGCCACCCCTAGTGTTACTCAATAGCTTCAGCAACTTCTGGGATATTCAAAGTTTAGAAGGAGCCATCACCTATTATTATGGCCACCCACGCAGTGGTTTGGGACACTGAACTATGCTCTCTTGGTCTTGCGGGAGGTCGCTGTTACAGTCACCAACATTGATTTTCAACTAATGGGGCTTTTGAAGATGCATTGCCAATTAATTACTCACACGAATATGGATTCCCTTTCTTTGCAGGAAAGATGTGAAAGACTAAAGCCTGATAACACTTGTAAGATGGGTTTTAGTTTTACCTCGACACTAGTAGGAATGGTGGGAAACTTGATCACAAAATGAGATACACTAGATAAACAACAAATGCCACAAACCAGATAAAGAGGTAGCAGAGAACAATTTGTCAGCCCTCAATATCACCACCGAGCCGAGAAAAAAAGGTATCAAAGGTATCTTCGGCTAGGAAAAGATAGAAAGGAACAAGGAAGGAAGAAGGAATCCCAAGAAAGTCAAGGTTACATGCAAATCAACAGGGTTATAATAATGTGCACAATATTACATTCCAACCTGCAGTTCAACAGCAAATACATAATAGTCATACAATGTACATAATATTACATGGATTACAGGAACAACCTTTAATGCAACAATAATGAAACAAAATGGTTAGCAGTAGCTTTTAGACCCTTTTGCAGTGAGCCAAGGAAGAAGCAACATAGGTGTACATGTAGAAGATATTACAACAACGGATCTCATCTTCGAATAAACAGCCTGTTACTGTCCGGCTTTCCAAAATCTGTCTAATATGGACCATGAGACTCAAATTCTTACTTGCAATGTTTGAATAACTGTCAACAGAAAGGTGTATACTGTCAGATACATTATTATCTGTATCCAGGGAAAAACATTTCTCTGTACATTTACTGAATGGTATAGCAAAAGGTAAACCAATGTCTTTTGGCCATTTATTTTTCGAAGCAAAGAAGAAAATACTTAGGACAGGTGATTTCACATGAACTAAAAGTCAACAACTTTGAATTGGCAAAGAAAAATTATGTTACCATCAAAATGTGAAATGAAAATCAAAGTATGAGAATATACCTTGGTCTATTCTAAGATCACTCCAACTCAGATGCCTCATCTGAATCTGATAATGGCAAGAGGGTGCAAATCCCAAGCACATGGCCATTGAGGCACACGTAGTACTCAATGCAATCTTCATAAGAACCTAACCTGCAGCTAGCACTCTGTGGTATCATCTTTGCTTGCAGCATGCTCCACAACTTTGCCTTACAATAGGGGCAAACCTCCGTTGGATGTAACTGAGCCCCCATCCTAATCAGCATCTTTCTCACCTTTGATGAAGCAAAAGACTTAAAAACTCCCCGGAAGAATCCTACATCCCCTTCTTCCCCTTGATCAAGATGTTCGCAAGGGTCAGACACATACAAAACATCTGTTCTGCATTGAGGTAAAAGAAAGCTTTTCCCTGATGTCCTAGAGAACCGGGTTCTGTAGACAAAGTGTCCAGGAATAGAAATGCTATTAAACAAGCCCCCCTTGCTACATCCTGAACAGTAAATAAGCAGCTTCCCAAGCGCCCTCCAGTTCCCATCAACACTATGACTCCCACTAGATTGCAGATCAACCATCATCTTTGGAGCTCTAGTCTTACAAAACTCCTTCCAAAGTATTCGTTTAGCAAGATCATCAAACCATTTGCAAGCACAAGAAAGAGCTGCAATCAACTTAGGATTCCAGTTCAAATGCTCAAAAAGCAGAAATATCACTTCCTCCGTAAGATGCCCTTTTGAGCACATACAGCTAGCTGAGTGTATGCAACGATACTGCTTTGTGATAATCATTGTCTCCACCTAGTAAGAGAACAGATCCAGTGATAAATATCATTCTCGTATGATCTGAGAAGCGTTAACGGTTAACCAGACAGTTAATAGTGTCGACAATGGATAGGCAAAATTTTCAATTAGACATGTTTAAATGTCATATTCTAGGTTCCATATTGGAAGAACTTAGAGATGAACTACACATAGATGTCAGAATACGAAGAAAAAAAAAAAGCAGAAAGAGGTTAAAATGGCCACACTCAACATCATAGAAGCAAAAAAACTTGCTATACCTGGTAGCACAACATCTTCATTATCCTCATAAGATTCAATCGATTAAAAACTAAGATTGTAACTCTCAGTTTCCATCAAGTGCCAAATATTATATTATATTTCACCAAACTTAATCAGAAACACAAAGGAAAATCTACATGCTGGAAAACTTCTCTTGAAAATAATTACCACCAAAATAACAAGGGCAGACATTAAACATCTGAACCGTTAATTAGTTTCTTATTACATTTTTCTATGTTCTCAAGTTTCTAAACTGCTATACATCTAGAGTTATGTCTAACATATAAGATAATGCCCACCCTCAGTAACAGCACTAAGATCTGTGGGTTAGGCACTTAAAGGAAGCTTCAGAGACAAGGAACAAAGTCGAGCTTCTGATTAAAAACCATTGAGTTCTTAGTGATAATTGAGATTGAGTTCAACCTTTAACTCATGAATTTTAACAGCGACTGTTTGAAAGTTGTTCAAGGATCATTTTTTGTCAAAAAATAGTACCATATATGTTGAGATTTTGTTGTACTTCTTTGCAGTTACAAGCTTTCACCAACCACGTCAGAACTCAATCAACTTGATCTTCAAAAAAGAGTTACCTAACTTATTGAAGTTGGATGAGTTCTTAAAGGGATACAGAAAGTATCAGTTCTAGATAAACATGTCCCGAACCATTTGGGGTTGACAATATAAACCCTTTTCTGAGATTATGAAGGAATCATGGCTCATAATATAGAACAATTTTTCTCCCCAGATCCACAAGGCACTCAACATCAAAATTTAATCATTCTGACACTATTTAACCCAACCCCTTGAAAAAGACAGTAATTGCATACAAGCATGGAAAAGATCATTAAGCTTTTCTTCCACAAGTCTCAACAGATGAATCGCTCCATTCTGGCATTGATGTTAAACAAAAATAATAGCTCACAAAACCCTACCCCAAATCAAAACCAAGCCGAAACCCATTTCAACCTCTAATAATCACCACACTCGGCATTGATATAGAACTAGCAAATAACTCAAAAGAAACTCAAAATCCAAATCAAAACCAGCCATGGCCGGCTCAACAGTTAAGCCCTACATATTAAAAAGACCCCAAATATAGATCAAAGATTAAAACCCATTATAATTTAGCTTAACCAAAAAAAACTTCTGAAACTCTCATCATCTGATTTCAATTTCAGAAAAAACAACAGAGATTAAGACTCACACACAGACTGTCGCACAGAGAGTCAGAGAGGATAGAGGGGGGAGAGAGAGAACCTGGGATGCTTGTGGCTAGTGGCTTCGAAGACGAGGCAGCGAGAGAGGCGAGAGTCTCTGAGACTCGAAGAGGAGGAGGAGGAGGAGGAGGAGGAGGAGCTAGGGATGGATCGACTGAGAGAAGCAGAAAGATGCCATAGTCTCTCAGGCTCGCAGAAGAGGAGGGGCTAGGGATTTCCGCGTTTTTGTGCACACATTAACACATTTCATTTTAAAAAACATACACATGCTGGTCAGATAGGAATAAAAAAAATTTTAAGTTATTTTTTATATTTCTATCCTGACGGTTTGTGAAATACCAAAATCTTTCTATTAATTAGCCGATTTTTCATGGAAGCTGATCAATTGGGTCGAATAGGGTCTTAATTGGTTGGGTAGGGAAAATTTTATGGTTCGTTTAGTACAAAGGATGAAAAATAGGAAAGAAAGAAAAGTGGAAGAAATAAATTTTTTATCCATAAAAGAAATAAAATTATTTTTCCTATTTTTTGTTTAGAAGGAGGGATGAAAAATAGAAGGCATATATTTTTCATCGTTTGATATTAAATGAAAAATGAAAGGAAAAGAAAATCATACATACCAATTTTACAATTCTATCCTTTAAATATATGTTTTGAGAAGTGGGTTTTATTAGAAGGTAACAAAAGGCAAAAAAATAAATTAATCAGTCAAAGGTCAAATTTCGTTGGCTTCTTCCTATTTTTTGCCCATTTTTTAGGGGAAAAATAAATTGTGGGCAGAAAGGAAAAACATTCCCTCCAATTTTTCTTTCCATCACTCTTTTTTTTCATACCAAACAATGAAATTTTTTTCCATCCACCTCATTTTCCATCAAAACAAACAGGTTATTAGACTTCTTACCCGGAAGGTTAAGTTAATAAAATAAAATTAAAATTTAGGTTCAAAAGTATAGTTCATATCACACATACATATTTTAAAGGACAGAAAAAAATTTAATACTTCAACAAAAAAATAAATCAAACATATTTTTTACTTCTCTCAAACTCGATTTTGTTTTCATTTAAACGTAAAAGCACCATCTAATGAAATTGTTCAGTCTCACAAAGGATCCACAAAAAAATTTAATAAAATTGTTATTAGAGAAAATTAAACACAATAAAATAATAGATGAGCGTTACATATATAAACAAGTTAATAATTATTATTTTTTTAAAAAAAAAGTAAAATAATTCAATAACAAGATAATAAAAAATTATGAATGTATATTAACAATCGATCATGTAATACCACAATTTTCATAAATAACATACAAAACAAATAAAAATAATAATAAAACAATTGATTGTATCCCAAAAAAGTGCAGATCAAGCACTAGATGAGAGACAAACAAATAGATTATATATATTTACAATTTCTATCAATTCTATTATTGAAGAGTTGCATCAAGATAGAATATGTGTGAAATAACACATATGCATTGTTTAGTATATCTAAATTATTAAAAAAGAAAAATTATATGACAACATATTATGATATTGAATATCTTTATTATAAGAGTACCTTTCAACGGTCCACACATGATTTGAAAAATTGAAAAAATACATAAAATATAGAATAACACATTATCTGTAAGCTTTGTATAATCAATTTGTCTCACTTAATCGGTTTTATGGACAAAGACTCGACAGTAAAGAATGAGTAGAGACTATAATTGTTGCGAAATATATAAATATTTGGATCATTTGAATGAAATGAGCCACAACACAACTGGTCCTAGAGCTCGACCATTAAAATAGTTGTTTAGAACTCAAAAATTTTATGACCCAAATTTAATTATCAATTCTTAGTTCAACTTCGTGTTCAGATGCCCTCTTAAATGGACTTAGTTAAAAACCCAATAAATTTCACAAGTCCATTTAAAACCTTATAAAAAATTTTAAAATGTAATAATATTTTTCTCAAATTTTTGTAAAATTTTATAAAAAATTTTAAAATATGACAAATCCTTTTAAAAAATTGTAAAAATAACTACTTCTAACTTTCAAAGTTGCAATCCCTCTTAAATTCTTTTCACTGTTTTTTCGTTCACTCTCACAGCTTGTCTCCCTCCCACTCTTATTATTTTGCTATGATTTTTTGTTGTTAACTCTTGTTTTTTGTTATGTTTTTAAAATTTCATTCAATTTATTAATCTGTAAGATTCTGATTTTACAATTGCACTTAATTTATTGTCTAATCCCGTCCGTCTCCAAAACTCCTAAAACATTAAAAATAAATCATATTATAACTTTGTATAAAATATTTAATAACTATTAAAAAAATTTATTAAATTCATAAAATATTAAATGAGATCTCGTATGAAATTCCAGGTTTAGGCTAGAATATGTCGGGCCACCCTTGAAACCAGTCCAAAAGAGCTTGATTTCAACATAGAAAAATTGAAACTGTAGTAGATCGTAATTAACTCAAAATTGAGACCCAGTTCCTCATCTCAGCTTATACAGATTTCCCTTTCAACATCACCCCAAAGTCCTATCTCTTTTCAGATTTGAGACCTTATTTTTCCTGGGCGAAAGTAACCGTCGGTATTGAAGAGATTTTGGGGAAATTTGATAGTTTAATTTGCTCGTTTAAACAACAAATTAAATTTCATGGACAGTATAATTTTATATTAAAATAAGATAAAATTATTTTTTTTTTTTGATTTTATTTCCATCAATGTCATAATAAAGCATAAATTTCGGTTGTATAATTTAAAATATTTGATATTTTATTTTTGATTAGAGAATTTTTGGTCTAATTATAATATTTTAAACTTAAAGAGTCTAAATATTATATACCTACAAATTTCAGAGGGTCTGAATATAATTTATTAAGTGATATACTAATAGACATTGACGACAAAACTTTAAGTGTTATGTGCGTATAAACTTTAGGGATCTATGTGCAATATTTCAAATATCACGGAGTCTAAGTGGTTAAACGACAAATTTTAGGGGGTCTCAATGAAATTCTCCCTTATAATTATTAAAAATTTATATGTTTTGAATCAAAACTATAATTATCTTGTATCGAAAAGAAGTTAGTAAGAGCATATTCAATTCTTTTTTTTTTTTTCACTGTAAATTTAAATTTGGACTAAAAATTCTTAAAAATCTTCTCTAATATTAGACCCATACTCATATCAAATTAAATAAAATTTATTTTTTACTCAAATTAAGAGAAACTCAAATCCATATATAAATCTTTAGTTTATTAGGACACTCTTATCATTTTGAATATTATTATCAATCATGTCTGATGTATACACCAACTATTATATGACATTTGCTTGATATCAAGGACGGGATACTAAATGTCACTTAAGCAAGGAGCTCATTCTAAAATATCTTTAGTATCGGGACTTATACTTGATTCAAGTTCCGTATAAAATCACAATTGAACTAATTTAGGTCAATCATATTCTTTACTACCATAAACAAACATACTTTAAGGTTGTAATATTCAATAAATTTAGAACACGTGTCTACATAAGTGATAAAAAATATCAATAGAAATGAAAGTGAAACTCAACTATAGAGAGGAATTAACAAAGAAAATTAGATAAAACAATATCTAAAATGGCTAATTACTTTAATAAATATGAAAGAAGAACAAGTAGAGATGACAACATTAGAACTAGTAAATAAATGAGAAATAGAAGAAGCAAGAGTGGGAAATAAAAATCGGAACCTATAAAACAAGAGATAATGCATTAGAAAAGAAATGGACTGACCACTTTCAGTGCAAAGCAACAATTATTGCGAAAGAAAAACATGAAGCAGGAGGGTTCCACTTCCATGTAGCGATCAAATGTGAAAATGCATCAGAAAACAATACAACCAAAAGGATAGTGCCAGAGGCCCCAGGCCCGACCACCCTCCCCCAAGTGCTACGCCCCCAGATGCGGCACCGCAACAGCGTGAAACTCATTCCCATCACATTGAAAGTAATAAAATAGACTCTTCGTCAAGGGTGAACAAGAGTAGAATCACAGAAGTCTGCAACTTCGGCAAGATTTGCATACCCTACTGCAGGAGTGGTATCCTCAACCTATTGGACACCGTTGTTTGATTGGCCTTGTGGATTAAGAGGAGGGGTCCCCACCTAGGGACAAGGCAGATTGAGCCTCCTCAATGGAGAATTGAGCAACTGAGGTAGATAAGCATGATTGACAACCTAGGGTTAGGGGCAACGTCTCGAAGGTTTAGTCCATCCGAACAAGTCTCCTAGTGAATATGGCTCACTGTCTTACTTGACTAAGATACGAAGGGACTCTTAAAGTAACTGGAGTTATTTGTCCGGATCAACATATGAGATAATAAGATATGTGGATAGGTGACTGAAAGATCGAAACTATATTAGTTTCCTCTATCAGACACCTTGACGAGGGTCTTGAGGAAAGGGTTTCGAGAGAGAAGGGAGGATCCCGGGTAAGAGCCTAATGGGGGCATCGTGTATATGGCCTTGACTTGTTTGAATATTGTGCTATAAATACTCTCATTACTCGCCCACTGTGGAGACAAGAGATTATTTACGACTTGGCTGGTGAGAGCATTTTACTCCAAATGCCATTTCCTCAACTAGTTGGTCCATTTGTTAATAAGTTGCTCCATTTATTAATAAGTTGATTGATTTCCTTCTATTACATCCATTTATCCTCTTTGATTATTTATAGCATAGACACGTGTGTCAACCGTTTTTAACTGTCAACTAAAAATGTTATGACATTTACCACCGAAAAGGAAGTTCCAAATAGGTTCAAGAGAAAACGTAACCTTAGTGGAACCTCTATAAATTGTGATATTTTGTCTCTTTCTCTTGAGTTCTCTTGTTCGTTTATTGCTTCTATTTCATTGTTAAGGCATTTTATCTAGATCTTTTTACCAACAGAAATTGTGAGAAAACACTCCTCCTGAGATTGCATTTGGGCCGACGAAGGGCATATATATAAACTGACCCAACTGGTATCGAAATCATGAACTCAGATTGAGCTACGATTCTGGTTTGCTCATTTTTCTCAAGCCATCCTGACTTACAAGAAAAGTTAGTATCACAACGAATTTCATGGTAGTTGGGATGGAAAAGAAATGCAATGACAAGTACAGAAGCCATGAGACTTAGAATGCCTACAGCTAGTGACTGGGAATAACTAGCCATTAGATTTGATCTTGTATCCATGAATGAGCCTCTGCTTGAACTTCATCCTTATACTGGTAGACCTCCACCCAGTAGGTGGGGATAATAAGTCACCTAGAGATAAACAATCTCGGACCATTTCAACTTAATCCCACACCCACAAAATTGTTCATTTGTGAATCTACAGTTCCCAGATCATAAGGTACCTTTTTTTTATGTTTTCCGGGTGCTGTAATTTGGCAAGTATTTCTTGTAAGAAGAAAGGTGGCAAGGAAATATAGCAGCATGTAAATGGAACATTGGTAAAAGCTGGGATATTGAGGCGTGTACAGATCAAGGTTTGTCCATCTAATTCTTTCCATTTTAAGATGTGGCTCAGGGTGTATAGACAAATGGGCATACAAACTATCCCAATCATGGTTCAAAATATCGGCCGATACTGATACGAGTCGGCCGAGTTATATCCGAATCGACATCTTCCCATACGATACTGTTACACAATACATATAAATCCCGAGTCTTACATAACTCGATTGAGTTGGCCGAGTTGTATTCAAATCAATCTCGAGTTGCTGAGTTATCGTCATCGAATCGTCTGATACAATTCTGCGACGCCGTGATATCACCTGAATCTCTCGTCATGTTCAACATTTTCTTTTATATCATATCGCCCGATATTGCGTCGCGATGCCACAATCGATGTGTATCAGAACTCTTCGAATCGATGGTCGATACCACAACCTTAAACCATGACCCCAATCATTATCATCAATGGGATTGGGGGCACTTCCAACAAGAGATATATATGAAGAGTTAGTGTTGGGCTAGCATCGTTGCTCATTCCAGACAACCCCATCGAATATACTCTTAAGAATTCTAATTTGATCAATACTCTATGTTTTATTCAGGAAACTAGTATTGAAACCCCAAAATGAGGGGGGGAAAAATTAGCAAAAGCCCAATCTAAAATTAGCAATTATGTCAGAAATGAGACGAGCAATCTTAAACAGGCCAACCCAAAAAAGAAGGAGAAAAGGAAAAACAAGACGATACATCAATTCAGAAATACATTGAATACCACAAAAAAAAAGAAGAGGAAGACAAGACAACTCAACCATTTAAAAGGTGTAGCCTTCTCTTCTTTCCCCTCCCCAAAGTTGAAAACGTCCCAAGTATAACAGTTTCTTCATGATACAAATCAATCACATTAATCCAGAATAGACCAAAGAAGAAAGATGCAACATGCCCTCCAAGAAATGAGTATAAAGGAGAAGCCGCACGAGTCCCAGGCTCAATTTGGTTATCCAAGCTTTCTAACTTCAACCGAAGCAATCCACTTGTACACGCTTGCAATTTCACAACGTTGCATGTTTCACTCCAATGACAAGCTTCCATTATTTTTTCACAATGTCTTTACAAAAATCCGAACATACTGAAGGAACTAAACTTTATTTGCCAGTTAATCGACAGTGGGAGTGGAAGGTTTACTCTCTTGGAGGGAAATCACTGTTTCGAAGGCACCCACCAACGCCTTAACCTTACTTTTTCTGCTCTCAACGAGCTTGCTTGCTGTTTCTTCAATCACATTATTAAATAAACCCTGAGCATCTTTCCTCCCCGCTACATCTTGATGCCTCAAAGTAACTTGTTCAGAACTCGATTTCGTACCATCTGTGCCATCATCGACTCTCTTCTTAAAGCGTCTCTTTCTTGGTTCACCGTTGCTATCTTGGTTTTCCACCAACAGGCGTCCCCGTCTAAATCTGAGCCTCCTAGGACCATTATTTTCAGATTGCAGGTCTACCACCTTCCCCCTCCTGAACCTTAACTTCACTGGTGCGGAATCATTATCTTCAGAAAGAACCTCTCCACTCTTTCTAGGAACCACCTGATTTCCTTCTAAAATTTCTACTTCGTCCATGCTTACACTTTTATCGTTTTCAGAGACGAGGTCATCTGCTTCACTATCAGAGTATTCAGACTCCTTTTGATCTTCTTCATCATGAGATGACAAAGATGGAGAGTTTGGGTGGGAAGAAGAATTAGACGATGGAAATGATGGAGGAGGAGAGGCAGAAGGAGAAGGACATAAAGGAATGATAACCTCATCTTCAATTCCTCCCAAAAATTTATTCTCGCTTGCTACCTCAGTGACGTCCAAGGTTTTCTCCAGGACCTTGTCATTGTTGGATTGCTTTGGTTTGGAATTTCGAATTCTGTTCTGATCCTTCAGAGGAGACACTAGAGCCATGCTTCTTTGTTTTCTCGCATTTAAGCTTACAACCCCATTGACACGAGGTCTGGGAGATAGTGAACCAATTGGAGGGGCCAGTACTGACACTTTAGCTGTTCCCATCTTTTTGCCAATTTTGGTGTCACTTTTTGTCCTGCCATTTGAACCTGAAGAGTTTGGATGAGAAGATGGCGCCGTCACAGATATAATAGTAGCACGCTTTGCAGACAAGTTATTAGCTTTCTTCACATTTTCTGCCATCTTCTCATTTGATGAATCGCGTTTTAAAGAAACATCATTTTTCTTGGAAGGCAGTAAAATTTTCTGCTTGACAATTTCAGGGGAATCTGGCGAATGTGTTTTAAAACCAGGGGAAGGCTTAAGGTTGACCACCATTGTCTTCTTTTTCTCTGCTGGAGGATTATGCTCATCAGATCGAGGTGTGACTATTCTTTTTGGTCTGGGACGCCTTGCCTTCACTTCAAATGCATGTTCTCTGCCATATTTACAGAAATCATGACACGAACCAGTGGAAGCTCTAAGATAATGAGGGACAATATTTTGCCCTCCATTTGGAGAATTTGGTTTTCCTGCAGTGTTTCTTTTCTCTCCATCATGGCATGAACCAATTGAAGCTCTGCGATAATGAGGAAGAATTTTCTGTCTACCAGTTGGATAACTCGGTTTTTCTGAGTTTCCTCTCGAACTACTTCTCTCAGGCGTAGTTTTCTTGGGGGTCACAAGTGAATTTATATTCTCCTCAGCCATTAAACAGGAAGAAGGCAGATGCAGCGAGGTTGAATTCACAACCCTGAAAACCAAACCAAATTCTTTGAATTACTAAATGTGATACATTAAGAGCATAACAGGGAGCGAAACTTACCAAGATCTAGTACAGTGTACTTAAATTAACATTGAACGCAAGCAAAAAGTAATTCTATGAGTATACTCAGATTGAAAGCAAAGGGAAAAGGAGCTATCAATCATTTTTCTATTCCTATTCTTTTTCTACAATCTACATCCTTCAGCAAAAAGCGACCAATTAGCAAAAACAACTAAATAGAATCATTAAAAATCAAGAACAAAAGGAAATTTCTATATCCCCTGAATATTGATAAAAAGTAAAACACAACAATTGTTATCCTCACTAGAAAACTGATGTAAGATAAAAAAAAAAAAAAAATCTAGCATCAATAACATAAGTACACAATCAATGTTTAAATGAAGTGACTGAGAGGGTACAAGGCATTCGACCTGAATTGTTCTAGAAAAGAAAACAAGTTGATTAAACTAAATCCCCACAAGCAAGTGATCATAGTTTATCGTCTGGTTAATCTGTACCAATAGTTTCACACCATGTAACAGAAGTTCCTTAGCCTCTAAGACTCTAATCGAACACACAATATTGAACCCATATCGTCCCATAGCCATGAATCAATCAACCCCAATTCACATATGTAAAAACACTTAATCACCAGGTTGAATCAAAACCTCGCAAAAACCCATATTAGATCATACCTTTTTTGTTTCCTTTCCGTAAATTCCCAGCCACCAGCAAGTGAAGATCAATCAACCCTTTTCGATACCACCAGAACAAACAATGCAATCAGTCAAAAACCGAAAAAGGATAGAAAGAGGTTTTAGAGAGAGAAAACATGAAGGAAGATGAATTTTAAAAGGACTTATCAATCAGAACGATCATCAAGATCCAATCTTTGAACAAACCCATTTACCAAAACATGAAAAAGAGAAGAACCCATGTTGTTATAGTGAATAAAAACGGCTTCTTCAATGGCGTATTTAATGCGACGAAAGAGAAAACTGAAGAAAACGCGTACTTTAGGCTTCTGTGTTCTCTCTCTCAGCTTAACCACAAAGCAATGGAGAAGCTACAGAGAACGAGGACGAACCCCACCATTTTAATCTTTCTTTTTTGCTTCAGAGATCGTGCAAGCAACGCCTCCAAGCCTTTTGCTGTTTTTTGGGGTTTGTATGGGGCTTTTCGCATGGGATTGCGCGTTTGTTACAAAATCTGTGTGGGTGTGGAAGAAAGGGTCTTTTCGCCCTTAAAATATCAAAAATATTAAAATATAATTATTTTATTATTTCAAAAATTAATTTATTCATAATTAAGAAAAAATTATATTATAATATTTTTGATACATAATATAAAAAATTTAATTTTTAAAAGTACAAATTAAAAATTTTAAGTTATAAAATAATTTTGCTCAAGAAGAATTTTGTATAAAATAAATTTGGCAACTAAGGGCCCACACACACGACTTATTCTCGTCAATTAATCTGTAGTACATCGCTGTAAGTTAGGCTCTGTTTGGTTGTCAAGTTAGACGTTAGAAGTAGGTGTTGGTCCGTCCAAAGAAACTCTGCTACTTTGCAAGTTGTGCTATGTTTGGTTTGGCTAAATATATTGTAATGTAATAAGGTTGGTTGCTTTTGTAATTCTTGGGGAAACATAAACTTTGACCCCCTCAATTATAATCATGCTCTCGTATTATCCCTTTTATTATTATATATTTTTTTTTATATTATCACTCAATTATTTTAATACGTTTTACATTGTTCAAAATCATATGACTTTTATATTTTGAACGGACTATGTCATCTATCATTACATTTTGACAGTAAAATAAAAATTACATAATTTCGAGATTAAATAACATATCGTAACTTTGTGTTCAATTAATATTATTTTTGGAGGAACAAACAATCAAACTCTTATTTGCCATATTTTTTCACTTTAAGTGTGTCACGTGTATCTACCAAAACTATGACTACTTGTACTAATTACTATCATATCTCATAAATCAGCTAAAAATACGTTTTTTTTCTGTTCATGGAGTTGGAGAGAAGCTTTTCCAATCCTTGGTTAAGAAAAACTTGTTCATTTTGGCATGGAGGAATGAAATGACATTGACATTAGGTGGAGACACATCCTATCCTGAATCTGTTTTTGGACATGTTTATGGGTTCAGCATAAAAGAGTAAACACCTCGGATTCCTTTTCTCTCTCTGTCTGTCTCCACCACAAGCTCTTCCTCCACGCTTCCCTTCTCTAGAGTACTTTTGTGCTGTGCTGGGCCATAAGGACATTGACCTCTCTCTCTCTCTCTCTCACACACGCACACACACACATGTTGGTAGCTGAGATTGGTAAAAGAGGGTGACCCTCCAACCAACCATAAGTTTTTATCACCTGCAGCAAAGATTATAGCATTGTCCCGAGTATAATTGGATCTTCTTTTTTTAAATGTGCAACGAGAATAAGATCATCAAAAGATAAGTCTTACCTGATTAGTGCAGCACAACCTTTATTTATTAAGGAAGCAGAGGGCTGGTTGAAAACTTTAAATAAAATGGGCCAGAAAAATATAGCCTAAACCCCACTATTCCATTAACTATCTTGCTACAGAAATCAAACCCGTTGAGTCTGAGAATGGAGGACAGCAATGTAGCATGGGACCATCACACATATCAGTTTGCAATGTAAAAGAGAGAACTATACTTTGCATCTCTTTCTTGAGGTCAAATAAAAAAAAGAGAGAGAAAGAAAAGTAAAAAGAAAACCAAAAGACGCTTGTGAAATAGCATATGTAATGATATCAAGCACAACTCCGTGTGCCGCCTTGTCCTTTACAATTTTGACAAGTAAAATTTGACAGGGAACTTGAAGTAGCATCATCTTTTCCGTCCAGATACAGTCTTCTTCACTGCTCCAACTGATACTAAAAACTGGTCAAGGGATGATAGGGTCTTCATATCATCTGGAGGGAAGTAACTGGCCGCCTTTCCCAAGAGGGATGTGAAAAGAAAGGAGAGTGAAGGCCGAGTAACATAGCGCTCTCCCAAGAGATCATCAAGAAATGCAAATGCTGCTAAAAAATCTGACCTGCTTGCATTTATTGGCGCAGCAAAATGGGCAGGGATTATTCTCCTGAATCTCCAGTCCCTTGCAATGCTATCAATCCAATCCCTAACCTGAACTTCAAAGAAAAATACAAGAGGGTCAATTTTTGAATTATCTCGACAGAGTCATCCTAAAGTTAGTTTAGTCACTATAAACTCGTGTTTCCATTCGACAAAAGAACTAAGGGAAGTTGGAAACCAGATAGGATTTGAATTGTTTGAAGGACAAGCTTTGGTCTTTGTATTTCACTATGCAAAACATGCAAGGGTTTGAAGGACATGCTTCTATTTTTGAATTTCACTATGCAAAACATGCAACATCAAACAGAGTGGGACCTAGAGATTCAAGCAAAGAAACAACAGTATGTGTGATAATATTACATGGTGCTAAAAGATGAAATGTAGCTGCCACTCTAGACCAAGTAAGAGGTGTGCGTTATTGGTACACAAGTAAGAGGTATGCTTGCCAACAAGGCTGCCAGGACCACGCATGATTACTAATTGAGCCAAGGAGTAAAAGTCTGTATTAGACTGGATTACTTGCCTTTTCAGGAACTTTGCTAAAGACTAATGTTTTAACAATGGGTGAAACAATCAGCTTCTGTGACATTTGAGCAAAGCTGGCATTGGGCTCCAACAGATTTGATGGACCAAGAAACAGAATTTGGAGAACCATTCTTTCCCATCCTGCACCACAAAACTAGTCAGTTCAATATACAAGTATTGTAGTACACATTTGCCCTCATGTTGCATCAGCATCTTTGATACTACCTAGCATATTACAGGCTGGTAGAGCACTAACCTTTTTGACGGTTCTTCTTGCTGTCAACAACTGGCTCGTTGGGGACTTCCTTTCCCTTACTAAGAAGTTTGACAGCTAACCCATTCTTTGCAGATGCTAACAAGGAGTCCTTGCTAATACACTCAGGTGGCTGCCTTGGGACAAAAATGACAGCATCCGTCACCAGTAGTGTCCTTGATCGCTTATGATAGAATGCCACCTCCACGTAAGGCCCAATTCCTGGATGAACTCATGCATATATTTCAAACTAAGAATCACATGTAAGCTTGAAATATGAAGCAACAAAATCAACTGAGAAACATATATAAAAAGGTTTGGAGATAGTGTAGTTTATGTTACCAACTTCGGGTGAGCTTAGAACTTTTTGTTCAATCTCATCAGCCCATGGAGTTGACACATCCTCATCTTTCAATGTTTTGGCACGAAAGACCCCAAAAAACTCAAGCGGCAAGTTCAAAGGCCAACTCCATTGCCTTGGTGCAACCCATACTTGAGCCCGAGGGAACTTTCTGGAAAATGGGCCAACAAATATTTTATGCTCATAAGCAAATGTGGGCAAAACAATGTACTCTACTGGAGCTCCCAATTCCTTCACAAGCTGCCAAGAGTTAAGAGATCACTTGTAAACACAAAATTTTATGTCCAAATGAGAGTAAAGATATGCAGAGTTAGAAAGAGATGGACTGAAATAATGTCAAGCAAGCCCTAACAATGAAGGTTTGACATAGCAATCCATGTAAATGGAGAGGCAAATTTCCACTTGGGCAAATCCAACTTATTTCTTTCAATCAATAGATCTTGGTATATTTGATGCCATTATCTCCGTCAAACACAACGGATGCTTGAAAAGCCCCGATAAAAACTGGAAGATTTTATGAACCCTTGAGAAAGAGCTTCTTTTTGGGAAGCATAAATATGATCAAATAGGCTTATGGGAATTAGCCAAAAAAAAAATACAGTTATGTGTGTTAATAGTGGAAGATTAACACAATATTAGAGAGAAACAGAGAGAGGTTAAAACTTAACCTAACTCTCATACATCACTTGTATTTATAGTTAATCTACAGTAATACGAATTACACATACACCCTCTTACTATTAACAATTTATACATACTACCCTATTATTTTTAACACTCCCCCTCAAGCTGGACCATATATATCATATAATCCAAGCTTGGAATAAATAACTGTAAAACGTGTACGACTCAATGCTTTGGTAAACATATCTGCAAGCTGATCTTCAGATTTCACAAATGGAGTTGTAATCTCCCCAGCTATTATGTTATCCCGAATAAAGTGGCAATCAATCAACCTCAATATGCTTAGTTCTCTCATGAAACACAGGATTGACAGCGATATGGATAGCTGTCTGGTTGTCACAGAACAACTATAAAAGAAATTGAACTGAAAACTCAATTTCCTGGAGGAAGTGTAGCAGTCAAGTCAACTCACTCGTCGTATGTGTCATTGCCCTATACCCAGTCTCAGCACTAGATCTTGCTACCACTGGTTGTTTCTTACTTTTCCATGAGATAACATTACCTCCTAAGAAAGTACAATAACCAGTGGTTGATCTTCGATTAGAAGGAGAGCCAGCCCAATCAACATCTAAGAAACTTACCACTCTAAGATGTTCATTAGCTCGATATAGTAGTCCAAGTCCTGGATCTCGTTTGAGATATTGCAGAATACGAGTAACTACCTCTCAATGTAGTACTCTAGGACATCCCATAAACTGACTTACTATATTGACTGCATATAAAATATCCGGTCGAGTAATAATGAGATAATTAAGCTTCCCAACTAATCTGCGATACCGACCCGGATTCTCAAACAATACACCATCATCCACCAATAATTTTTGATTCGGATCCATAGGCACATCAATCGGTCTACCACCCAGCAAACTTACTTTCTCAAGCATGTCAAGTACATATTTCCTCTTAGATAAACAAATACCCTGTTTAAATCGAGTCACCTCAATACCCAAGAAATACCTGAGTTTTCTCAAATCCTTAGTATGAAATCGATCTTGTAAGAATATTTTTAACTTGACAATTCCCTCAGAATTATTTACAGTAATCACAATATCATCTACATAGACTACCAATAGAACATACCCAGCATCTGTCTGCCTATGAAACACGGAATGATCTATCTGACACCGAAGAAGATCAAACTCTAAAACTGCATCTGAAAACTTACCAAACCATGCCCTCGGTAACTGCTTTAAACCATACAAAGATTTTTTTAACCGACATACACTCTTACCATACTCCTCCTGAGCAGTACACCCAGGTGGCTGCTCCATGTAGACCTCTCCAACTAAATCACCATGTAAGAAGGCATTCTTGACATCTAACTGAAACAAGGACCAATCAAGATTAACAGTAAGAGAAATCAAGATACGAACGGAGAAAATTTTGGCAATAGGAGAAAAAGTCTCCTCATAATCAACATCATAAGTCTGAGTAAAACCCTTTGCAACAAGTCGGGCTTTGAGACGCTCCACAGAACCATCAGGGTGAAATTTAACAGTATATACCCAACGACAGCTAACAATTTGTTTACCAGAGGGTAAAAGAACGAGATCCCAAGTCCCATTATGATGTAAAGCAGCCATCTCTTCCTCCATAACTTTCCTCCAACCCAGATCAGATAATACATCCTGTAAATGCTTAGGAATAGATATAGCAGATAATTAGGAAGTAAAACAGGAGAAGACAGGAGATAAGGCATCATATGAAACAAAATGAGAAGTGGAATGATTAGTAACACACGAACGAGTACTTTTGCGAAGAGCAATAGATAAAGAATCTAAATTACCTGAAGTTCCAAGATCTGAAGGCAGCAAGGAAGACGGTACGGGTACTTCAGTCGATGGGCGAGGACGACGAGAGTAGACACGGAGAAGTAAAGTAGATGGTAACACAATGAGCAATGGAATATCTGAAGATAAGGAAATGGATGGTGGTAAAGGAGAGGATCCAAATTCCAAATTCAGAGGCTAAGAAGGTGCTGGAAAGTATGTAACAGATTCTTCAAATGTGCATCCACACTAGTAAAGTATCGATGCAGAGAAGGACTGTAGCAACGCTACCCCTTCTGCGTGCGGGAGTAATCAAGAAATACACATTTAGTAGCTCGAGAGTCAAGTTTGTCAAATCCAAAACCCAAATTGTGAACATAACAGACACAACCAAAAACTTTAGGAGTTAGAGAAAATAAGAGATTACTAGGAAAAAAAACAGAATATGAATTTTGCCTATTTAATACAGAGGAGGGCATACGATTAATAAGATGACAAGCAGTAAGAACAATATCACTCCAATAATATCGGAGAATATTCATCTGGAATAACAAGGCACGGGTGACTTCCAACAAATGGTGGTTCTTGCGTTCAACAATACCATTTTGTGGAGAGATGTAAGCACAAGAAATCTAATGAATAATGTCAGTTTTACTAAGATAAGCTAAAAAAGGATCAGATTCATATTCTCGAGCATTATCGGAACATAAAGTACATATACGACAACCAAACTGAGTTTTTATTTCCTTACGAAAAGTCTCAAATATAGAAAATAATTCAGACTGAGCTTTCATAAAAAATAACCAAGTCACACGAGAATAGTCATCCACACAAAATAAGGATATTTATTAAATGAAATATTTTTTATTGGACCCCATACATCAGAATGGACTAATTCAAATGGACTAGACACACGATTATTGACTCTAGATTGAAATAACACACGGTGATGCTTACTAAGTTGACAAGCTTCACAAGACAAAAACGACACATAACTAAGACTAGAAACTTGACGCTTCAGATTCTGGAGATAGGGATGTCCAAGATGACAATGCCATTGAAAAGGAGACAACGAGGTCTGTAGAGCTCGGGTAGGTGAATCAAAGTCAAGGTAATATAGGCCACTAGTTTCATGCCCCGTACCAATCTTCCTCTTCGTCTTGAGATCCTGAAAGACGCAATAAGAAGGTAAAAGATTACAGAACAATTGAGAGAACGAATAATCTTGCTAATGGAAAGTAAACGAAAAGGAAACTGAGGAACAAATAACACGGAAGATAAGGACATATTAGGACTCAAGTGAGTAGTCCCCAGACCTAAAACTCTAGAACAAGTACCATTAGCAAGAGTAACACTACGTGTGAAAGTAGCAGACTGATAAGTAGAGAAAACGTCAGACGCACCAGTCATGTGGTCAGAGGTGCCAGAGTCAATGATCCAAGGACTGCGAGTAAAGGACAATAAACAGGTGGAAGCAGTACTTGACTGGACAAAAATAGCAGTGGAGGGAGATAGAACAGCCTATTGCTAGGACAAGAACTGAGCATACTCCTCTCGACCCAGTGTAATAGTAACCGACCCAGTGTCTGGTGGAGCTAATCGAGGTATGAAAGCAACAACAGAGGTATCATCCTGTTAAGAAGCCTGATTAGCAGTACCAGAAGGTTTTCCATGTAAATCCCAACAAAAATCAACAGTGTGTCCTCCACGGCCATAGTGAGTACAGGAACAGGATCCACTACGACCCCCACGACCATCACGACCACTACGTCCATCACGTCCACCTCGATGACCATCACTATGGCTATTAGGAACCACAAGAGCTAAGCGATCAGTGGAGACACCATGATCTATAACTGAAGGAGTAGACAGTGTAGCACGTTGTAAACGAGAAAAAACCTCCAGCAGTGATGAAAGAATAGATCCACCTAAAATCTGAGAACGAATAGCCTCATATTCAGGTTTCAATCTTACCAAAAATCTAACAATATTCAGGTCCTCATGTTGCTTTTGCCAAACTGCTGCATCAGTAGTAAACGGATGATAAGTTTTCATCTCCTCACAGACTCCTCGAACATGAGAGTAATAATCTGCAAGACTCAGAGTACCCTGCTCCAACTGGAAGTACTCCTTGCACACCTCATACACACGAGTAAAATTACCTGTACCAGAATACATCGTGGCCAAATGATTCCATATCTCTTTGGTAGTATCAAGATAGAGGAGAGAAGAGCTAATACTGGGCTCTATGCTATTCAACAATAAAGAAATAATCTGAGCATCCTCTTGTTCCCACTAATCATACCCAGGAGTGTCTTCCTTGGGTTTAGAACCCACTAGATATTTCTTTAATCCTTTGCCTCGAAGAAAGACTTGAACAGATCGGGACCACAAAGTGTAATTAGTCTCATTAAGTTTGACAGAGGTTATGGAACCATTGATAAGAGTTGGAGAAGACAAAATGAAGTAAAGGACCTGGTATCTTGCTTAGGTTCCATAATAATGCAGCAAATAGTAAACAAGAAGAGTTATAATGTTGAAGTAGAGAAAAAGAAACTGCTAGAAGGCTGAACCGGGCTGGAAAAGATAGCTGGACCACTGAACCGGGTTGGAATAGGTTGCTGGAACACTGAACCGGGCCGATTTAGCTTGTTGGAGCACTGAACCGGGCCGGTTCAGCCTGATAGAGCACTGAACCGGGCCAGTTTAGCTTGATTGAGCACTGAACCGGGCCGATTTAGCTTGATGGAGCACTGAACCGGGCTGATTTTGCTTGATGGAGCACTGAACCGGGCCGGTTTTGTTTGATGACGCACTGAACCGGGATGAACCGGTCTGAGATTAGTCTAAACTGAACCAAACAATGGATTGGGTCAAATTTGGGTTGACCCGAAGTGGATCGGGTCGGGCTGTTTCTTCTTCGCTGGTTAGGGTTTCAGAAAACCCACCTGTGCCTCACCACTGCACCTCACCACCAACAATATGAACCACCACAACCTCGAACCGACCACAGCAGCTACCACAACAGACACCACAGATCACGCCGATGACAAAACACGACCACATAGCCACCACAGACCACGCGAACCACGAACCGACCATAGTAGCCACCACAACAGCGATCACAACAACCACCACAAACCACGCCTCACCACCAACGATGGACCACCACAACAGCCACCACAAACCACAGCCACACCACCACGACCACAGCCACCTAACAACAGCAAACAACACAGTACCACCACCACCACGATGGTTTCAACAAACAGACAACAGTACCACCACGACGAACAAAATTAATTTAGTCAGAATATATATTTATGATCGTACTTGCTTTGATACCATATTAATTGTGGAAGATTAACACAATATAAAATTTAACCTAACTCTCATACATTACTTGTATTTATAGTTAACCTACAGTAATACGAATTACACATACACTCTCTTACTATTAACAATTTACACATACTACCCTATTATTCTTAACAATGTGAAACAAATATACCCGTGTAGAAGGCTATGAGAGACAAAAGGGAATATGCTAGCTCGTCAGACTCCAAAATAATAAAGATAGAAAGCATTATCAGAACCTGAATGCACTCCATGGTCGGAGCAATGGGTGCATGAACCCATAGTCCTCCGGATTTGAGCTTGATGACTGTCATTCGAATGTTTGTGGAGACACTGCTAAAGCCCAATGCTTGTTCTTGTTCAAACAGCCATATGCAGTCTTTCACAGCCTGAGATTAGGTGTTAAAGAAAAATTTAAATGTGCAAAAACAATTCTCTACAACGTCCAACTTGAATTTTTTTTTTCTCAAAGAAACAAGAACTATTCTGCTCCTATGAAACAAAATTTTCAATGCTTGATAACTTGTCAATCTACTACTTGAGGACACAAACATATATAGAAAAGCTGAATATAACATTTTGTTGACATCCATTTTCCTTTGGATTGCAAACCATCAACAATCACCAAGGTTAACATAGAAACAGACTGATAGATGGAGGGTCTGACTTTCTTATCGCCCGTCCACCCCCTTTTGTTAGGCAGTGAGAATATGAAATTTATAGGTCCTGTTAGATTAACAAAAAATATGTTTGTCTCAAGTTAACCCTTAATCACAAGAGATAAAATTTTATCACCCCAACAAATAGTTTCTTTTCTTTGTATACTTAATTGCACAAAGGGAGATAGTAGCAACCTAATGTTATCATCAAAACTAAAGTATGAAGAGCCTCTATGTAAGAGGCTAAAGCAACTACAGTACTGCATCATCAAGAACCAAGCAGCCATACCACAATGGACTTATAAAACAAGCATCAATGCAATTATGTACCAATAAACAGAAACTAGTGTCACAGATTTTGATAAAAGCATAAAAGTATTCTGTTTGTCCCAGTATATATATATATATATATATAGAGAGAGAGAGAGAGAGAGATTAAGATACAACAGGTCATGAAGAAGCTAACCTCTGTCCTGATTGTGCGCCTATTGAGGAAAGGACCGAGAGGGAATGGAAACCCAGTGAAGTTGAAATAAAACCTTCCACCACCACTAGTATCACTGATGTTACTGGTGTTTGTAGCAGTAACAACCAAACCGATGACATCTTTATTCTTGCTTCTTCTGGGTTTCAACTGTAAGCAAAGACCCTTCAAGGAGGACCCAGAAACAAAACTAGAACTTGGTTCTCTGAGAGAAATTCGGTTCTGCAATATCGTGGATTTTGGTGAGGACATAGCAATAGCTACCATTATCACTGGTTCAAACTCTCTTCACTGTAGTAGATAAGTCTACTCCATGGAATATTGAATCGGTACGAAAAATCCAACAGGATCCCAAGTCTTAAAAATTCCAGGTTACCTTTGTGACACGTGGAGGATTTTACGCTAGATTCTCAAAGTTGGATTTTTGTGGATTTTGTTGTGGATGGTATAAAAAGATAAAATAAAGAAGTTTCCCGAAGAAATTATTTGCAGAACTACTAAACCATTTTTTGAAAAAAGTAATGATTGTAGTAACTGAGTATCGAAATCTCTAATCAAATATACTAGTATAATACGACTGAATTGTTCTTTCTTAATGGTGGAAAAAGCTTATGATTAAACGACATCAAATAGGAAAAAAGACCAGGAAAAAATTCATGGTCAACTACGGTATCATCAGAACCAATTTATATGCACACTCTTTGTAAAGGGTACGTTTTCTGAAGAAAGGAGGCTTAGCAAAATGGACGAGATGAGCGAATCAAGTTAAAAATTAACCACTTCGCCAAAGCCACTTGATACTTCAATATATGGTCCAGAGTACAATTAAAATCTCTAAATGAAGCTAAGTTGCTACACTTCTGCAGATTACAAACAACAAGCTACAAAAAACATAAGAGAAGTTTTCACAGCCTTCTGCCCAAAACCCACCAAGAGAGAGAACTTCCACCAAACATTATATTAACACGAGTTAACGAATAAACCTTTATACAAAGAGTATAAAATCTCTTAAATCAAACCCTACTACAATACTCCTGAACCGACGTTGCCAGACAAATTCCCACCCCCAACGCCACCCCCACACAAAACAAAAAAAAAAATAACAAATGATACCCAACAACCAAAAAAAAAATTCCACCAAGGATATACTACCAAACTTATCCAAAAAAGCCTTGGCTACCACATGCTAAAGGAATTCTTAACATTGGAAGGCACGAAGGATAGTAGGCTTCACAATCATGAAAGGGACATATGGTGCCGCTGAAAACAGTAGATGGAGAAGTACCAGTTTACGAGGCAAACTTCTCTCCAAAGAGCCCGCATCTCAAGTGATGATTTCTCTCACCAGCCAATCCAAGCTAGGATATGCAAAATACAAGATAAGAAAAGAAGGGAGAGCAAACACAACGGTGGTGATGATGTACAAGGCCAAGATGGCTGCACTGGCAGGTATAGCATACAAGATGATCAGAAGAAATATCAAAACCAACGGGAATTTGGCAGTCAGATGAACAAAGAAAACAAGGGACTTCCTAAGGGAGGAATGAAGCCTCTCCACAGTGAGATTGACACGATTATGATCATGGGTTGATCCAGAAGACTCTGGATGATGACCATACTGCCCCCTCCAGAGGTTAGAGTGGCTTACATGACTTCCTAGTGCTACCTTGGCATTTGATGGCCAGACTGGCTGATGATCCCCGCATGAAGCTGAATGTGACTGCACCCTATCACCATTCATGCTCTCAAGCATCCAGAGAAGAAAAAAGTTCTTCCGGGGAAACTTGAGGTTTCCCCTATAAACCAGACGGAGAGATAAGAGGTTGCACCAGGGGCAGGAGATGAAAAGCGGAAGCTGGATTGGTAAAGTTGGAAATTTCACAACAGCCCATTGCAGTCCTAAGACACAGTTCTTACAGAGGGTGTGCCCGCACCATAAAACATAAGGCACATTTTCAACGATGTTAAAGGATTCCCAGCATATCGGGCACTCTAGCCCCTCCTCTCTGCTGGTGGTAGAAGAAATTTCATCGTCTGAGCAATCTAAAGAATCTTGGGTCCGCTTCAGAGAGTCATTCTTCAGCCCAATGCTTCCAGCTATGCAATTGGTTGCAAAGTTCCACATTGTGCTAGCTAGGTGAAATGATTATAGAAAGAACATCAATTGCTATTGTTGTAGAACATTGACATCTGGATGTGGACCAGTGTGCTATTGACCATCAACTCGAGTATCATCCTGAAATGCAAACCTGAAAGGAAACTCTGAAACAGAAATTTTTTTTGGGTCATATAACAATACAAATTCACAGCACTCAGCTAGTTTATAAGTAGGGAGTATATAATTGAAATAAGTCAGTAGCAATTGCGTATGACAAATATTTCTTATTCTCTAACATTCATACTGCTTTAAGAATTAAAACTGCAAGGCTTCAAAACAAGAAGGGAAGAGAAATCAACCTGTATCAAATCAACTTTGGCTAAATATGACTTGAGAGGATTCGAATTGCATAACTTGTAGCTACAACAAAGTTCTGCACACATGCAATTTGCTTTCTCAATAAGCTATCATTGTTTGTGATCCTGTTGCCTGGAGAAATCATATCAAGCAACACACAAAAAGACCCACAACATATAAAAAACTAAAAAATTAATCAATGAAATGCATTTTCATTAATCATATGCCTTCACACCAGGTAATATTCAAAATCAACACATTTATCTGATCTGAGAATAGTCTACTGCATCGAACAAAATAAAAATGGCAGTGAAATTTTCATATCCCTTCAGGCTATAACCCACAATTTAAAAAAATACCATACCTACATAATATTTATGCCCTGCGTGCTCTACATATGTGGGATCCACAATTTTCCTCCTGTAAGCTCATTTCCAAACCTATATTTTTTATTTTCAATACTCACTGTCAGCAATATCAATTTAAAAAAGGTTATGCAGGTTTCCATTTGTAGCAGAATCTCGGATGGGTAAGTGGTAATCAGTCTTAGCCCATCTGTTGAGGAGCTCATATCTGAACTGGAACCCATCTATGATCTATGAGCTAATTTTTAAGCATATGTGATATGAAGTGTTTTTTTTTTTTTTTTGCTTTCAGGATTAATTTAATGTTTATTAAGCTTCTCTTGCTTCAGAACAAAGCACGGAAAGCTCACTGGCGCTGTTGCTCATCTATTCCAACAAATGACTTTGAGCAAGCTCAATAACTTAGATCAGTTTGAGCATTCCACAAAGAACTTTTCTGTTCAACAGACCCAGAAGCAATACACCAAAGAATTATGCCCGATATAAACAAAAAATCCCATGTCTCGTGCCTTAGTCATCTGTCCATCCACATGAATGAAACAAAAACAAATTACTGAAAAATCAACATATAACTGATATCGACCAAGAAATCGGACACATGTTTAACACCCAAATCTTTCCTCCATCTTTTTCCAACAATTGCCCCATCACATTACCAAACTCATTTTTTGTACATGGGTCTCCCTCAATATCAGCCTCTCCAAATTCATATCAACATTATCATTCACCCAAATAATTTGACTACTATAGAATGCAAAAAAGCCAATGAAGGATCCTACGTTACAACAATTGCAACAACAACAAAAGATCCTAAAGCTTGAAGGCAACAACCTACAAGTGAAGGGGAACGTTAATTTATCATAAAATGGGAAATCATAATAAATCCAAAAATAATCCCTAAGAACAAAAGGATTTCACATACACGCTAAGATATAAATCAAGGTGCAAATCGTGATTAAGCACTGATGAAATAGCAATCGATCAATCCGTACCAAACATTGAGCTCAGTAAGCACTTTTAATCAAGAAAAATATGAGAAAAATCGTACACTGAAAAAGCATTTTTGTAAAGTTTTGAGAACGGTGGCTACCGATGGTTGCTGATGATGACTCTGGAAGATACCGGTGAGAGAGAAGACCGTCGAGAACTCGTGCCTATCTCTCTCTCTCTCACTTTCGATCTGTGTGTTAAAACTCTCTCTCCCTTGCCTTTGGCTTCCCAGAGCTACGAGCTCTGAAAAAGAAACAATCGTCTAATTGTTTGGTTGTTTTGCTTTTTATTGTGACATAGGAAACACATCGTGAATATCCATTTAAGACCTCGCAAGTCGCAATCACACGCAAGCGGCAGATTTAAAACGACGCCGTGGCATTTGCAATGAGCAATTTCCCCCTCGAATCAAATATCGAAAAAATAATATTATTGAAATTTAAATTTTTAATATAATTTATTGATCTAATTATATGATTTAATTATAATTATTAAAATTAACATCAAATTCTAATATTTTATAAGACCCACAATCGATCTAATAATTATAATGAATTAAATTAATAAATTATATTAATAAATTAAATTTTAATAACATTATTCATAATGAAAACACACTTGACATATGTACCATTAAGGCGATTATATATATTAGTGGTCGGACACACGACGGGACATTCAATTTTCAATTGAGAGAGATATAAGAGATAAATTATGAAAATTTTAATATAAGAAGAGAGGAAGGGTATTATAAGTTTTTTAAATATGAATATTAAACTCTCTTATCCTCTCTTTATTAATAGAAAAAAATTAATGTTTTATTATAATTATGAATTTAAATGGGCCATTCATAATGAGACTAATGAGTAATGTTATTCAGACATAATTTATTAAAACAAAATTTCTTAAATTCTTTTTTTTTTTTTTTAAAGTTTAGAATTACAAGATGCCAAATTATAAATTAGTGGATCGGCCCAGCCACTGCCAGCCCTCCCCCTTGGCAAGGAGGCTGTCACTTCGGGCCCTCACTTGTTTAGGGCCTGTTTGTGTATGTTTCACCAAATTAAAAAAAATATATTGTTCTTTAAATCATAAATGTATGCACATTCAAATATATATATGTAAATATATATATATTGCACCATATTTTTATACAAAAAATTACAAGATTCTACGTTCTTATTTTATCTAAATTTACAATAACTTGGGCCTATTTATACAGTTATATTTTCTAGACCTATAATTTTTTAGTCAATTTAATTTTAATTTAATCAATTACATAATGTATTTGTCACCTTAAATATATCTACTAAAAGATATAAATTTAAATACTTTAAAAAAAAATTATTCATGTAAAAATAATTTTGGGACCACATATAAAAATTTTGTCTAGGACCTCAAGAATTTTTGGCCTGGCCTGGGTCCAGCCCACGCTATATCCACCAGACCAATTTCCCTTGGCTGGGCTCAATGGGCTGCCAGCCGATGGACAGTCTTGCACACATTCATGCATAGTCTGACAATTACAGAGGGTTGATGAGTACGAAAAACCCATAGATGAAATGAGAGGTCAGTCAACATGTGTATGGGGTGGGTGGGTGGGTGCAAAAGCTTTACTTTGAAGAATCTCGTATTCTCATGCATGCAAAGAGGCCACGACTCACGAAATAGGTGTCGCTTTCTTCTCAGACAGGATGGCAGCAACCTACTCATTGAATAAATTCTTTGGAGAGGACAGACTCTTTTTTTGGGTGTTTATCCTTTGGAGGGTAGAGGGAAAGTGTTACGAAATGGAGGTATACGGAAAATGAAATGAGCCGACCACACATCAATAATGGTCGAGAATTCAATTCATGGCTGTGGTGTTCTTGGATATCGGTACTGTAGTTGGATCCGGACCTCTTATCACCATTTTATCTTCCAACCCCCCACAAAATACAATACAGTGGGACCCAAATGGATGCAAAATGTGAAGTGATGCTGATAAACTATGTATTTCAAGGGGGGGACACTCATTTCAAAGGAATTTAACAAAGCTCACATGCATTATTATTTCAAAGGAAAATCACATCTATTCTGCTAGCTAGCGAGGATATAGGCACCCAAACGAAAATATTGTGGGTGGAGAAGTTAACTTGGATTAGATTTAAGTTAGAAATTATTCATGCATTTTGGACAACGCTATTGAAATCGTCTTTCTAACTATAATTTTGAAATTTTACCCATTTTATAAAATATTCAACATGGGTATCGTAGTTCAGTAATGTTACATTGACCAAATTTTGAGACTAAATTTGAAGTACAAATGACATGGAAGTTGACTTGAGCTTCTTTATTTGGTGTCATGTCATTTGAACTCCAATAAAGACTCCAAATGTTATGCTGTCATGTTATTTGGACTTTAAATTTGATCCCAAAATTTAATCAGCATAACATTATTCATCATCGTTTTGAAGCTCTTAACGTAATTTTTATGCTCCCATTTAAAAGTTAGGGAATGAATTCACCGTCCTACGATTGGCTTTCGATTAGTAGCGATTCTAATTTCATGTGTTGGAGCGTGTAACTAATGGATTTTTGGGACTGTACCACTGTGGTACGTATCCGTCGCAATAGGCATAGTTTTGGTCTCTTCTGCATATATGACATATAGGAAGCTGCCATGCCACACCCCTTACCTCATACAGAGGCATGAAAGTGTGTTCGACATTGTTGTTCAGCAGAAAAGTGTGTTCGGAAGTTACGGTATATGTACTAAACTACACTTTCTCATCGTCAGCACACACAAACCACATGTTGATTTCACTCGATTGATATTGGCAAGCATATTCGGATAGAGAATAAATTATTTATAGAGAAACCTATAAATCAAATGTTTGAAGGTGGTCCTGTGTAATTTAATTATTTCTGGAAGAAACTATTAGTTAAAAATATTTGAATATTGTATTTTTTACTTTAATTAGTTACTTTTACAAGATCATTCCAATCACGCTCTTTATTTTAAATTCTTACTATATCCAACTTTCATTAACTTTACAAATTACAATATATGTATAGAAATAGAAAAAAAAAATAGATAGAGAAAAAATTTAGAGAAGTTGAATGACTTTCATATTTGGAGATCCGTTTTTGTGAAATGAGCAGTAGAGAGTATGATAAGGAGTGAGTTGGAGATAATTTTTAATGTTTTGCTGTTTAAACTAGTTAAAAAACATAAAAGATTGGGACTGGTTGGAGTTGCTATTGTGTAATGAAATCATTGTGTGGACTCTTGTGCAATCATTGGTGTACGGTTTTTTGTCCTGCATGCTGAGGAAATTTCCCCACATCACTCACTCCAACGGCTGCTTCAAAGCTTCATTTTTACGAATGTGATTTGTTCCTACTTCACGCCATGTAAAGTAATAATAGCTGAGAGAGAGAGAGAGAGAGAGAGAGACCTTTTTTTGGGTCAGAAATAGAGACCTTGAATTCCCTCAAAGTTGAAGCTTCAAGAGCTCAAGTTTAGGGTGCAACCGAACTATATGTGATGGAAAAGTAAATCGTTTCTCGCGTCGCTACGGACCTACTTTCTTGGTGAAAGTAAGAAGAGTTAAGAGATTAAGCTATATTGCTGCCCTTATAGCAGAGCATCACTAAGACATCTGTGTCTGTGTCTGTCTGCGCGCGCGCGCGCGCGAGAGAGAGAGAGAGAGAGAGAGAGAGAGGTGTTTCCGATAGCTGCAGGCTGCTGGACCTTTCACAAACACAAGCAACAACGGTGCCGCAACTTCTTTACATGACTTGTTCTCTTGCACTTAGCAGAAGCTCGATTTTAATGGCTATCAGTGCAGTTTTCAGGTATGACTATAGAAATTAAAATATAATTCTGGATGGTTATTACCAACAAAAAGGGTTTTCATGGATGGATGCAGTAAAATGTGGTTAAAGAGGAAGTTATGAATAATTAATTATTTGTAAAAAAGCAAAAGAAATAAAAAGTAACATATTTTCAATTTCTTTTCAATTAACCACCCTTCATTCATTTTTTTTAAATTCAATTTCTGACTCATATAAATTTTAATATTTCTTGAATTATAATTAATTTTAACTAATTATATTCTAACACATGTAATGTAACTATCCTCTACTCCACTAATTAATTACCACTCATTCAAATCTTTTAAAAAATTCTGTCACTAATTTAAAAATATAATTTTATGACTCTAACTTTTCATAATTATTTTAATATCCTAATTTTTCATAATTTTTTATTTAACTTTTTAAATGTTATGATGACAATAAAATAAAAAATAAAAAAGACAAGGAAGGAAAACAGGCAAGGAAGAAGATGCGTGCAAATTTCGTGCATCGCACAGGCCGACTCTAGTATCTCCTCTATTTTAATTAGTGCAAAATATAGAAATGGTTCCTCAAATCTTTCAATAGTGTCAATTTATTTCCTTAAAATTTTAATTTGTGTTATTTTGGTTCAATAAAAAAATGACGGTTTAAATTAATAATAGATGTATTTCACATATATGTCACATGATTACCCTTACCAGTTCAATCCCTCAAATTTACAATGTATATAATTTTGGTTTTTATCTATCACTTTAGTCTTTTGTTTTTTTTGGGAAAAAAATCCTCAAATGTGGTCAATTTCATCTTCGTCTCAATTTATATCGTTACTTTTGATTGGACCAAAGTAATACAAATTAAATATTTAAGGAATTAAATAAACATAATTAAAAATTAAGAAATAAATTGACACAAAATTTATAATTTGTAGATCAAAAATATATTTGCATAATATTGTAGACACCACTTTTATGCACTACCTCTCTTATATCTTCTGATGTGCTACGATCAGAGTTATTTAATATTTAATAAATTTTGTGAAACTCATTGGTTGTGCACAATAGTGGTGAAAAGGTGATGTATGTAGTAGCATTACTCAATATATTTTGCCCTTTTAAGTAAAAATAAAACTATAGATTATTTGTTCATCCAACTATCATATTCTCACATGACCATTTTCCACTACAGGTGGTTTGGAATATTCCGGCGATGGACAGTTCAACCAGAAAACTGCGACGACAGCGACAACAGTAACCACACATCAAACGCAGTCGAATGTTATGCATGTACCCAACTAGGTGCCCCTGTCTTTCACTCCAGCACCTGCTGCGACCGTGCCCACCAACCCAAATGGGAGGCATCGGCCGGCTCATCACTCATTCCAATCCACTACCGGTCCGGCGGATCAACCGCTAAGAACCGGTCTACCGGAAAACGGAGATCTTTGGGACCATTCGGCCGGGTTCTGGACCCTAGAAGTCGGAAAGTACAGAGATGGAACCGGGCACTGATACTGGCACGTGGCATGGCCTTGGCCGTTGATCCACTGTTCTTCTACGCTCTATCCATCGGCCCCGGAGCCTCGCCGTGTCTGTACATCGACTGTGGATTGGCGGCAGTAGTGACAGTTATTCGCACGTGCGTGGACGCGGTGCACGTGGTTCACCTATGGCTTCAGTTTCGGTTGGCTTACGTGTCAAGAGAATCGTTGGTGGTTGGGTGTGGGAAGCTCGTGTGGGACGCACGTGCTATTGCTTCTCACTACGTGCGGTCAATCAAAGGGTTCTGGTTCGATGCGTTCGTCATACTCCCGATTCCCCAGGTTAATTACTACTTTATTCAATGATGAATTGCCACATCATGGCAACTGCTATTTAATATTGTTCATTCAAGCTTTTGGTTTGAAAGAGCAATACCACCCTCGTTAAAAATTACACCAAATCATTTATAAAGTGATTAATTTAGTGTGTGTAGTAAATTATATCTAGCTTGGTTTGGTGTCACTCACTGCATAGTAGCATCTTTAATTTCTATGTAGAAATTATTCCTTTGTTGGACATCTTTGGGAAGAACCCATTGGTTACACCTGTTGATGATCAGGTTATTAAGCATTAATAGAGTAACACTGGAAGTTATGGTACTTGCTTTTGACTGTTCTGTTTAATCTGCATTCCTAATTTTGTTTTTTCTTCTTCTTTGTTCAGGCTTTTATATTGTTAGTGGTACCAAGATTGATCAGAGAAGACAAGATAAATCTAATAATGACAATACTTCTACTGATCTTTTTGTTCCAGTTCCTCCCCAAGGTCTACCACAGCATATACCTAATGAGAAGAATGAAGAAGGTTACAGGTTACGTCTTCGGCGCCTTTTGGTGGGCTTTTGGCCTTAATCTCATCGCCTACATGATTGCCTCTCATGTAAATTTAGTTATAATTAATGAACTCTTATTTAGCTGTAAATTTTGATACTGTATCGAACTCGATACCATAATCTCAGACCTTTCCCTAGCTTTTTAATGGTTTTTTTTTTTTTCAGGTTGTTGGGGGATGCTGGTATGTTCTTGCAATACAAAGGGTAACCTCGTGCCTCAAGCAGCAATTCGACCGGACAAACAAATCATGTATGAACTCTTTGCATTGTTCAGAGGAGGTTTGTTACCGGTTTCTATCACCGTTGGGAAGTATAGGGAACCCATGTGGACGTGGAAACTCAACAGCGATGACTGGAAAGCCATTGTGCTTAGATGTTGATGGACCATTTAGATATGGGATTTACAGAGAGGCTCTTCAAGTACTATTAAGCAACTCGGCTTCTGCTAAGATTCTTTATCCCTTATTCTGGGGTTTAATGTCACTCAGGTAACATTGAAGAGTTGAAGTGGTTCACTCAATTGAAGAGTTGAGTTAATCTACTTTAATAGAGTCTGTTGATCTCTCTTTAATTTGTATTTACTTGGAGAAAAAGAAGATTAGGGCCTCTTTAAAATACAACTGCATACACACTCTTATCATGATAGGTGGTCCCCTATTTGTTTAGCACACCCTTATCATGATAGGTGGTCCCCTATTTGTTTAGATTACTTGCTTGAGAGAATATTTGCCGTTAGAGATTATATTTCTTAAAAGTGACGTGGCTTTTTAGAAATTAGTGATGTGATAATAATAATTCTTTTTGGATAAGACTTGTACTTGCTAGCATCCCTTTTGTTCTCCCTTGGACTTGTTGGGCCGTTTTCATCTTAAGGCCGACCTGGCGTTGACCAGGAGCGGCTTCTTTCTGATGGCAGAGGTTGAGCTTAATCACGAGTTGTTTCCTTCTGGCTAGCCTGGCTGGCTCAGTTGATTTGGGCTAAGCCACCTCAAACCAACTGATACATCAGACATCAAGTGCTAGTATAGAAATTAACTGCTAATCAAATGGCAGCATCGACAAATTAGGTCCTATTGGCCATTATGGCTTTCAAAGCCAAGCCACACCTAAATTTTGCATTGGTTGTTACAGTACTTTTGGCAACTCCCTGGAACCAACAAGTGATTTGTTAGAATTGAGCTTCTGTGTCTGTGTTGTGCTCGGTGGCTTGATGCTCTTCACTCTGTTGATTGGGAACATTCAGGTATGTTATCTACGCTAAATTTACTTTGATTCTATTGATAGAATCTTGGATATATGGAGAGAGAGAGCATACTAACTGTGATTAGTAAAATGCTGCTATGAAGGTGTTCTTGCATGCTGTCATGGCAAAGAGGAGAAAGATGGAGCTAATGTGCCGCGAGATGGAATGGTGGATGAGGCGAAGGCAATTGCCATCTCACCTGAGACAAAGGGTTCGCCATTTTGAACGCCAAAGATGGATAACCATGGGAGGAGAAGATGAGTTGGAACTGATCAAAGACTTTCCAGAAGGGCTTCGACGAGACATTAAGCGCTTTCTTTGCTTAGACCTTATAAGAAAGGTAACAGAATGAGCCCAACAATGGCTGTCTTAAAGAACAATATATATCCCAAGTTTGCACTAGGGGTTAGACTTTAAGGAGTACCATATTTTTGTAAGCAGAATGAACACCTATATGAGTTTTAGTTCGATCACACACATGCCACCTACCACACCACAATCCAATTGGGCTCAATTGTGATTTAGACTTAACTTTATTTTTTAGAGAAAATTCGTTTAATGAATTCACTTCGAACTTTTTAAACCCGATTTTAATTTTTTTTTAATAGAGTCTAATAGTGATAAGTATTGATAGATAACTTTTCCGTTATTTTGAAAAGATTAATTCTCATAATTGGACAAGTATTACTGCATACCATTTGAGTGTGTTAGATAACATTTATACTCATAATTAAGTTTTCCCTTCAGGTACCTTTGTTTCACAGTTTGGACGATCTTATCCTTGACAACATCTGTGATCGTGTTAAGCCCCTTGTCTTCTCCAAAGATGAGAAGGTGCAATATCGTCCAATTATAAAAGAACTCAACATTTTCTTAAATAACCCTAAACTCTCTTTCATATATTTCAATGTTTCCATGAAACAGATCATTAGAGAAGGAGACCCTGTGCCCCGGATCGTGTTCATTGTCCATGGACGCGTAAAGAGTACCCAAAACCTTAGCAAAGGCTTGGTAGCCACAAGCAGTTTAGAAGCCGGAGGGTTCTTTGGCGATGAGCTTCTTTCATGGTGCCTCCGACGCCCATTTATCGACAGACTTCCAGCCTCATCTGCAACATTCACCTGTGTTGAATCAACAGAAGCATATGGTCTTGACGCATACCACGTTCGATATATCACCAATCACTTCCGCTACAAATTTGCTAATGAGAGGCTTAAGCGAACGACGCGATATTACTCATCAAATTGGAGAACATGGGCAGCTGTGAATATACAGTTAGCTTGGCGGCGTTATGAGCATAGGCGTCAAAGGCTGGTGGATGTTGTGGTGGAGAATGGTGGCGCTGAGCCGCGGCTGCGGCAGTATGCTGCCATATTCATGTCGATCAGGCCACATGATCACCTTGAATAAAAGCAACTGATGGGAGTCCTTTTGTTAATTGTTGCCGGTAATAATGAGAAATAAACGTGGCCAAATGTTTTGACCCAAAAATAAATAAATAAGGTGACCAAATGTAAATTGATTTCGATGTATTTTATGCTTCATTCTTGAATAAATATTTCTATTAATTAACGAGCTCAATTGCAGATCCCAACATCCTTTGGGAAAGAAGCCGCGTCTAATGCCTTAAATGAAGCCATGTCTTTAAAAATGGGAATTTTTCATTCGATTTGTAGCCATACCATACAATAGAGTGCAAAATTTTTGCTCTCGTAGTCATTATCTATAGAGGTGAAAATAAATTTTTTTAAATTTACTTAATTTATCAAATTCGATAACGTATCTCAAGAATAAATATAATATTATTTGAATTTATTTTATGGATCAAAAGAAGCCCACGTGCTAGGAGAAGCACTTGGTAAGGTTTCCTATTAAAATCCACATAATACAAATAGGTCCCACAAAATTTGTTTGTCTAAAAAATGTTGTCAACTAAATCTTTTATTAAATTTTAAATTTCAAATGAAACGATATATTAATAATTATTTATGAAACTTACTAATCCTATCATTCATATTCGTTTGAAATCCAATACTTCGTTTAATAGGAGAGATAAAAAATTGAAAAGATGAAGAACTATGAGGAATAAACTTTCCATCTTTGTAGAAAAAAAAATATTTTTCCACTTTTTTGTGTAGTACAACAGATAGAAGTTGAAAAATTAATTTTTTATTTTTTGATATTGGAGAAAAAACAGGAAAAAAAATACATGTGCTTAATTTATTATTATAACCATATATGTAAATATATTTTTTATTATAAATAAATTTTAAAAGATTCAGTGTCATTTAAATTAGTTATAAAAATAAAAATAAATAAATAAATATATATATATATATTATTGCATAATATTTAGAAGTATATTTAAGGGCAAAAAAGTCAATTTGTTCAAAAAAATAGTTTGTCCTCAATTATTCTCTCACTTAAAAAAAATGGTGGGCCGGAGGGAAACACTTTTCTTATAATTTTTCCTTCCCTCCTATTTTGTTTATAACCAAACAATGAAAAATCTTTCTTTCCATCCCAATTTCCTTCCCCCTTTTTTTATTCACCCAACTTTCCATCAAACAAAACTCACTATAAATCTCAGAAAATGTTAGAGTTTGACTTTTTTATTTTTTGGTCAAATAGAGTTTGACTCAAACTCTCATTAGTTATGCTATTATTATTTTTAATTAGTTTAAAATTATTAGCCTAGGAAATATCCTAGTTATATGATTAGTTTATTTAGAAGTCTTAGTTATATAGGATTTTAACCATACGGCATTCTAGATAGTCAGCTAGTTTTTTTTGGGTAAAATACACTTTTAGTTTTTAAAGTATGTGTTTAGTTTATTTAATTCCCAATTTTTGAATTGTGTCTATTTGGTTAATAAAGTTCTTAATTTATATTTACACAGTTCAATCTCAAATTTCTATTAGAAAATTGTGACGATTCTAATCACAGGGTTCTTAATTATCTATCTATTTGGATCCTAATTTTTTTAATTTTATGTCTATTTGGTCTTATGTGACTAGTATGTGATAAGAGACGTTAATGATTTTTTTTTATAAAAGTTTAAAATTAGATCACATAAATATAAATTAAAATCTTAAGGATTAAATAGACACAATTAAAAAAATTGATAAACACTATATACATAATTTAGGGATTTAAAGTGTATTTTACCCAACTTTTTTACTTAAAAAGCTTGGACAGTAGCTATGTGTTTTAAATCCACAGTCATTGAAGAATAAAGTTTGTTTTGACGTTGGCCTTAACCGTCTTTAGGTCTCAAATGTTTAGAACGCTGCATAATTTTAGGTATATCATTGGTTTACAAAAAAAAATTAAATTTATTAAATTTTAAATTATGCAAAAAAATCTAAAAAATTAAATCTAATTAAAATTTCTATTACAATAATTTAGGCCTATAATTCAATTCATAACATTAAAAATTTTAAAAATTTAAAAAATATTCAAAAGTCAACTCATATTTACTCTCACTCACTTTATCTTTCTCTCTCTATCGGATAAAGATAAATAAATAACAAAATTAAAATTAAAATATCTTTTTCAACAATATTAACACGACTTTTTTTTATCTCCCTTTCACATAAAAAAATTAAAAATAAATTAATTTTTTAAAAAAATAATATTAAAAATAAAAATACATTGATCTAATATTTTCGCTTTAACCCCAAAATTAACTTGAGTCGCCCTGGTCTTCGTCGGTTTCATTGTTTCCTCGCAAACTTCGTCTTCTATTTTCTTATGTTTTTATAATGATTTTATATTTGAGTATTTTAAAATCCTGCAAGAAAAAAAAAAAAAGCAATACTACAAGGATTTAAAAACTAGATCTGATATTTTCAACTATTGATTTCACTGTAAGTCCCAATATTTATTAACACTCACTATCTATTCAATAATTAAAATTATTGGATCTAATTTTTAAGTTTAATTTTAAAATTTATTTAACATTACTTAAAAGAAAACAAAAAGTTTTGGTGTACGTGCCATTGTTGCTCGTTGTCATGCTCCGAGTCACTGCTCTGTTTTTCTTTGGGCAAGGGAGTCACTGATCTGTTAAACGATCGTACACTTGTATTCACGACGACAACCCAGAACACTTCTATATTTCCCTCTCTCTCTCCAGTCTGAGCTCTCTGTTCCTCTCCAACCTCCATTTCTAGCCCCCTGTTCCAATCATGCCAAGGTTTCCCGGCCACTGTCACATCCAATCTCTCTTTTTCTTCAATATTTTAGTCATTATTCTTTTGATGTGTCTTTCCTTCGTTTGATTGTATATTGTTTGTTTTTCTTTTTACTTAATTTTGTTTTGATTCCCAGGTGGGTTGAAACTTTCCGGCCAAACAAGACTCAACTCAACAGCACCGACATTGACGACGACAAGGACAACCCAATCGAATGCCATGCCTGTACTCAGGTGGGTGTCCCAGTTTTTCACTCCACCACCTGCGACACCGCCCACCAACCCTTTTGGGAAGTCTCCGCTGGTTCATCTCTAATCCCAATCAGAAACCGCTTCAACCGAAGAACCGTCAGAACCCGGTCCAGTGTCAAAAGGCGATCGTCCCAGTCGTCGGGTCGAATTTTAGACCCACGGAGCAAGAGAGTTCAAAGGTTGAACCGGGTGATAGTACTGGCACGTGGGGTTGCATTGGCCGTGGACCCTCTCTTCTTTTTCGCCGTGGCGGTGGGTGGTGGTGATCGGCCTTGCATATACATGGACGGTAGGGTCGCGGTGGTCGCCACCGTCCTCCGCACGTGCATGGACGCCGTGCATTTGTGCCACCTGTGGCTTCAGTTTCGGTTGGCGTACTTGTCAAAGGAGTCCATGGTGGTTGGCTGTGGGAAGCTCGTGTGGGACTCACGTGCGATTGCTTCGCATTACGTGTGGTCGCTCAAAGGCATCTGGTTCGACGCCTTCGTGATACTGCCTATTCCACAGGTTAGCATTGTCAATTTCATAAATTACAGGGGTAGTTCTGTAATTTAAATTTGGAATTGAGATTGTGCGGGCTCGATCCTGCACGATATATATAAAATATTGGGAACAGATCTCTCCCCTGGTGAACTCTGAGTGAGCCGGTTGAGTGGCCAAACACGCTGCTGGAAACAACCTTCGAGGTACGGTGGCAACCTGGAACGGCAAAGGAAGGCCTTGGGAAAGGAAGGACGATCCTGTACGTGCGAAAGGTATTTCCTGGGACAAAAGAGAACAAGTTAGAAGGGCGCCGGAGTGTTTTCCGGCGTATCCCCTCCGACGGTCTAGTCAGTCTTTGAATGAGAGAGAGGAAGGAGAAAACACTGAGAAGGATAGTTCGTAGTTGAGAGTTTGAGATTGCATACCCGCTTTGTCTTTTGGGAGGGGTATTTATACCTTAGAAGATCATGATTGCTGTCAGTGTGGTCAGTAGGTAATCATCAGGCATAGGTAGCGTGTGTAATCATTTGATGAGGAATGTCTTCTCTAATTGATTGCTCGGGGTCCCGAGCAATCAATGGTGAGTTGTCGGAACGCCGACGGTACAACATGCTCCTTTCGGGAAGGATGTAATAAATGCTCTGTAATAGGAGCATTTATTGCCTTTCATATCCGAACCTTACCGCATTAAATGCGGTCTCGTCAACAGAAGGGTGTAATTAATTGTTTGCTTTCCCAAGTCGCGTGTCAGCAGCGGCATGCGGTTTGTCTGCTTCGGATGTGACATTATTTGCCACGCGTCCATCCCTTATTGGCTGTTACGTCGGTATCCCAGCACGTTCTGACATTACTTGTGTAAGAAGAGGTCATGATGACTTAATCCATACTGGCATAGGCTGATGTCCAGTATGTCAGTAGCCTTATCCGGGAGTAGAGGAAGCGTCCAGGATGGAGTGACTCTCGGCGCCGAGGAAAGGCTCACCTCGGGACCAAGGGGGGTGGTGTGTCCCCGAGGTACACGTGTGACCGAGGACACGTGTTTGTTGTATAACATACCGAATGAGTGATCCTATATGAGAGGTACCTCGGGGTAAAGGACGCTCTTCGCCGATGGTGCTTACATCCGGGCAACACTGTTCCCAAAACCCCGAGGACACGTGTCATCATCTTAGGGCTTTTCAGGAGAGTCCCATCAACTGCCCCCCAGCCTTCGATCTTCTGACACCGAGGACACGCGTTGTAAGGAGACGAAGGGTTTTCCAACTGCCATCCGTCCTTCATTATGGCCTCGAGCAGCTTTCCCCGTCTTGGGATGTCGTGCGCATTAAATGCGCTGTTTTTGGTTCTCCCGCCCAATGATGATAGTTTCCCCCCTATATAAAGGGGGTTCTTCTCCGGTTTTCTTCGTTTTGCCATTCCGATCTCTGACCCAGAATACGCCCTTTCTGATCTGCTCGCCGGAGTTTTTGTTTCCTCAGCCATTGTTGACAGCATCTTCTCTTTGAAACCTCAGCCAGTAAAACCCTTTGTTGACTCTTGGTCTTTCCGGTGCGAGCCATTTTTCAAAGTTTTTCCTGGAAAAAACTCCGTTTCCGACGTCTTCTGGTGAGTTTCACAACCTTCTTCTTTATCGTCCTCCTAGTCTTCTTGTTTTCCGATTTGAACAGTGGTGTCATCCGGTCGGTACGTCTCGATTTAAACCCTCGGGGAACTTCCTCGGGTTTTCAAGAGAGCACCTTTTTCTTCCCTTTCTTTTAGAGATGCCTCGTCGTCGCCCTGTTCCCGAGAATCCATCGGCTGGTCCCTCGGGGTCAGGGAAATACAAGGTGACAGGCGAGGCACAGATTGATAGGTTCAGGGCGAAGTATGGCATCCCTCCGAGCGTGGACGTAGTGGGTTTTAACCCTTTGTTGTACTCTCCTACCTTCGGGGCCACGGATGCCATGCCTTTCTATACCAAGGCCATCATAGAGGGTGGCATTAGGTTTCCTTTACCCCCCTTGCTTCTTCAGTTCCTGTCTCGCTTCCGTCTCTTCCCCGGGCAATGCTGCCTCAACGTCTTTCGGATAATTATGGGGGTCCTAGAGCTCAATAGGCGCCTCGGGGTGAATATTGGGCTCAATGACCTCCTTTTCTGTTACTCTCTCCTAAGAGTCATGCCCCACCAACATTTCTACCTCAAAGCCAGGGACCCCTCTATGTACCTTGTAACCCATCTTCCCGACTCGGACAAGGGGTACAAGGACGACATCTTGATCTTCAAGGGATGTTGGGAGAGGGGTGTCGGTCCCGAGTACAACGACTTTTTTGCCCTCGGGAATGGAGAACGACAAGTACGTCGGTTCCTTTGGGTATTTTTATTTGTTTCTTGGGACTTCTCGTGTTTATGACAATCTTTTTTTTTTGTTGTGCAGGTATTCCTTCTCGGGAAACAGCTCCACCCCCTCGGTCGCTGGTCAATTTTGGCGACTTAACAACGGTTTGGAGTTTCACGGGTGCCGACGGATTTGGCCGAGCTGCCCATAATTTGCTGCACTATACCCCCGGGTATAAGAAGTTCTCACAGCTCCCTCAACCTTTCGAGCCTTCACAGTGGTCAGAGCTCTTTGATCAGGCGGCGAGGTTAGAGGCCGAGCAGAACTTGGAAGAAGACCCGGATCGGGCTTCAGAGGGAGAGGTAGAAGGAGTTGCTGAGGTCGGGGTCAGAGAGGACGTTGCCCCTTCGGACGCCGAGGTGGGGACTTCGGGAGGCGACCTGTGGCCGGATTTTCAAATTCTCCAAACCTTGGACGTCGAAGACGCTCTCGAGGAAGCGATGTCCAACACCCCACGCATCAATTTGGGGTTTCTTAGGCAGAGGCAATCCCTCGCGGCCGGGAGAGGTCGAGGGACGGCCGGCGGTACTCCGGCAGGAACCAGCTCTGCCCCATCATCAAGGGTTCCTGATCGGGGTCAGGTGCGAGATCGGGACCCTCAGGTGGAGGAGGAGAGGAGGGTGAAGCATCGGCACGATGGCCTCAGCCGAGGACCCAGGGTGCCTCCCGCTCAGCAGCAAAGCGGGAGGGATCGTGGATTACCCTCTACTCCCTCACAACCGCAGCAGCAAACTCGACAACAGCAGCAACAACAACAGCCCCGACAACAGCAGCAGCAGCAGCAGCAACAGCAACAGGCTACTCCTTCCCTCCCATCCACAGTGGAGGCCGCGGTGTGGAATCCTCGGGCTACTGATCACATGAACCGAGTGATCAGGGTCGATGATTCCATTCTGCAGGATCCCCATGTCGCCTATGCAGTGAGTGAGACATTGCATTTTGAGGCCGACATGGAGGCTCATCGGGGGCGATCAACCAACGTGTTGTTCCGCTCCATGATCCAGAACTCCCTGGTGGTGAGTTTATTCCCGTTTCGACCCCTTCACTCTTGTTTTCTACTTTTGTGTTTTAACATTCTTTCCTTCTTTTACAGGCTGCCCAGCAGATTTCTATCATAGCTGGCCGGTACCACGCGTCCAGGATGGACCTTCAGAGGGCCAAGGATCAGAAGGCTGAAGCGGAAGCTGCCCTTGCTCGGGCAACGGAAGATGTAGCTGCCAGGGATTCCACCCTGGTGGGGCAGGCTGCCCAGATAGAGCAACTCCTCAAGGACGCTGAATCGGCCAAGTCGGGCGCTGAGAAGCTAAGTGCCGCACTTGCCGATGCTGAGAGGAGGATTACTGAGCAAACGCAGCGGCTCTCGGCGGCGGAGGAGAGGGCAGTGGGCTCCGAGGAAAGCTGTCTGGCCCTTACCCAGGAGCTAGATAGGATCAGAGCCGAGGAGCTGACCCGGAAATCGGAGCAACAACTTCTGGAGGAGTTTGCCGACGACGTGCTCCCCGCCCTTGAAGAAAACAGCAAAGAGTTCTTTAAGAAAGGGTGGGACGAGGCGCTCCAGGCTGCCGGAGTCCCGTCAGACTCCCCACTCTTCCAAGTGCACAACTATGTGCCCTCGGCAGAGATGGAGCAGGCAGAAGCACAAGTTGCTGCGGAGGATGACGCCCCTACACCGATGCAGACCTCGGCTGATGCTCCCGAGATGGTGATAGTGGACTTGTCCGAGGACGCTCCATCGGACCTTGCCTCTGATCCTCAAGCTGCTCAAACGGTTGAAGCTGTTCCTGCCGCCGAAGTTCTTCCCCAGCCCGCTCCTGAAGCTTCTCTACCATTTATCGCTGACTCGCCCTCGGCTGAAGTCCTGGAGATGCCTGGAGCCCGATGAAGCTGCTTTTTACTTCCCCTTTTTTGTACCCTTTTTGCTTTCCTTTTGTAGCTTTCGGGGACGCAAAGCCCCTATTTCTTTTGGAAATAAATAACTAGCCTTTTCATTTTTCTGTCTTCTTCTGTATACAGTAGTACTTTGCTTTTCTTTATCTCTGTGTAGAATAAACCACAAGTGTTTTCTAACTGTCTTCGGGGCGCGTTGGCCCGTCCCAGAGGCAAGATCTTGTATCAACCTCGGGGACTGGAAAACTTGGGGACTGGAATGCTTGTGTTTCGCTCCCAGGACCATGTTCTTTGTGGATGTTTGTTCCTGCATTCGCTTCGGGGACAGAAGTCCCTGAACTCTGTCCCTAGGGCCGCATCCTTGCAGGAGGCTTGCTCCTGTATGTACTTCGGGGACGAGAGTCCTTGAACTCTGTCCCCAGGGCCATACCCTTGCAGGAGGCTTGCTCCTGTATGTACTTCGGGGACGAGAGTCCTTGAACTCTGTCCCCAGGGCCATACCCTTGCAGGAGGCTTGCTCCTGTATGTACTTCGGGGACGAGAGTCCTTGAACTCTGTCCCCAGGGCCATACCCTTGCAGGAGGCTTGCTCCTGTATGTACTTCGGGGACGAGAGTCCTTGAACTCTGTCCCCAGGGCCATACCCTTGCAGGAGGCTTGCTCCTGTATGTACTTCGGGGACGAGAGTCCTTGAACTCTGTCCCCAGGGCCATACCCTTGCAGGAGGCTTGCTCCTGTATGTACTTCGGGGACGAGAGTCCTTGAACTCTGTCCCCAGGGCCATACCCTTGCAGGAGGCTTGCTCCTGTAT